CAGCGAGTTATGCCTGGAATGTCAGCTCACCTCAATGGGAAACACACACACGTGAATACACACCTCTGATACAAATACACACACTTGAAAGACCACACTCGCAGTGTCATGCCCTGCTGCACAACTACAGTCACACACACACTCCCTTTATTGTGTGTGTGCCAGAATAACATTGCATATGAGACATTCCTGTACTATAGCACTGTTTTCCTGAGGCAGTAACAGGATATCCTCCCCCTCTGTACTGTCCTGCCCGCTGGACACACACTCACACACACACACACACACACACACACACACATTCCTGCACATGCACTCACATACACATGCAGTACAATGGGTCAAATGTAGCCAGACAGAAGACCTTGTCTGTGCGAGTGTTACCATAGAAGTGACATCAGGTTCTCACATGGTTGCTAATGTCATTAAGTCAGTGAAAAATCATTTGACTTGTTGAGTGTGGGAGAGTGTGAGGAAAACAAAGGAAGTCGACAAGAAACTTGAGATGAAAGTAATGTTCAATGTTAATCTAATGCAGTTTAAAGAAAGAATTCCCTTTGCTGAAGGTAAAAGTTGATAAAGTAGCTTGTGGCTAACTAACAGTATGATTATTTGTCCCAAAATAATTCTATTGATGTGTGGGTCTGTCATTTCTGAGATGCTGTTTCTGGGCACTTTTCCACTTCACACCCAGAGATTACCTGTCTGTCAAACAGCAGGCAATCATGTATTCTTTCTTCTTTTCTGGGTCTTCTTAGTGTTCAGTTTATAGGTCCACCACTTTGGTCCAGACTGAAATATCCCAACAAGTACTGGGTGAATTGACATTGTATTTTGTGAGGACATTGATGGTGGCCAGAAGATGAAAGGTCCTTGGTCAGTTCCTTATCTTGTGACATATTTACAGTGGCATATGTACTTATGCTGCATTCCAATTACCTCAGAAGTCAGCGGTGGGAATGACATGACAGCCTAGTTGACCACATTCCAGTTTAATTAGTTTCAAAACCAAGATTTTGAATACCACTTCTAGCAAGGTTAGCCATTGTTAGCCAATACATTTATTTTGCATGTATTTTGCACATCCAAATACTCGAGCCACATGTCTACAGATGGACATTGGACAGGGCTGTATGTACCACTGTTTTAATGAGACAACAATAAGACAGAAGTGCTAATAAACATATATATTTTTACAGCTTTAACTGCTGTTGAAGGGTTGGTGAGGTTGCTGCAACTTTCAGAATCGGAAATCCGACTTCAGGGGGTGTTCCAGTTGATATATCTGACTGGGAACTTGGAAATTCCAACCCTCCAGTGCAAATGGACCACACCATTAAGTTTGTCCCCTGAGTTTTGCTTTAGCACCATCCCAAGTTTGCCATGAATTTCCTTTAAATCTTGCATGGGTTGCTGTAGAATCTGTGACACACAGTCATATCCTCCTCAGCATAAACTGTAATCGCTTTGGGGATGTCTTAACTTTTGATCTGGTGCCTCCATCAAATCAAAAATTCAACTTGTCTAATGCTTTGGTTCATGACAAAATACCTGCAAAACTAATGACATTCCTATCAGCTGTACTTAGTGTTTAGTGCAAACTAGCAAATATGAGCATGCTAACACACATATCTAAAATGATAGTCATAGTAAGTCTGCTTGGCATCGTCAGTATCATTGTCATGGTGAGCCGGTTGGCATGCTGATGTAAGCATTTAGCTCAAACCTCTACTGTCCCAAAGTACAGCCTCACAGAGCTACTGTTTGTTCACGGATGTTTTCAGACCTAGAGTTGTCTTGCCTTGGTCCAAATCAGGGACTAATTTTGTCACAACGTTGCATAATTGCCTAGAGTTGGTTCGTGTTCTCACGGCAGCATTTACAAGCGGACCAGATCAAATGCCCTGTGTGAGAAAGCTGCTCTTGATTGGTCAGAATGTCCATGTGGGGAAAATCCAGGAAGTAAACAAAACGTTGAAGAAGAGTACACTTGCAAGATAAACGTGACACTTTTTAATGTCACAATGGAGGGACAACTACGCAGGTTGATTTTAGCGCTGCTCATCGTGGACTATATTGCTGTCATTGTTCATTTTAGTCAAACCATACAGTTTGAAAACGAGGCGCGGCTCCAACTAGAAAACAATGTTTTGATGCATTGGATGTGCTGAATGTGCATATTAAGGCAGTGCAGGAGGAGGTGCACATTAATAATCCTCCAGGACTGTAACATGCTCATGTTTAACCCAAACAATGTGTCATGTGACTGCAGTTGGTTCAGATCGAGGTTGGAACACGTTCTCACCACAAACAAACCGCACCAGAGTTCGTTTGTAACCAGACTGAGACCACCTCTTCAAGAAGGTCTCAGCCTGGTTGTTTTGGTGTGATTGATGTGTTCACACCTGCCCAAACGAGCTGCACGTAGGGGGCAAACGAACTTGAGTTTAATTGAACCGACCCAAACTTCAGACACCAAGTAGCAAAATGGATGTTCTATTACACCAAAATGTCCTAGACTCTGACATCAGCAGACCTGAATTGAAAATCTGTGAGGTATTCCTTTAAGAGAATGTCTTCATTCTGATTTATATATGCCACAGACAGTATGAGACAGTATGAGCATGTGACTGAGCCAGATGGGTCAACAAAATACCCTCAGAGAATGTTTTTTTTTCTCTCAGTAGAAACAGGAGACATGAGGATAGCAGGGAGGAGGAGAGTGTTGCTTCAGTCAAGACAGGAGAAGGCTTTTTGAGGAGAGGCAGGGTGTTATTATCACCATGTGACTTCAGTGACCACTGTTTCTCTCACTTAAACACTCACAGAGAAGAGAGAGGAAGAAAATGGTGCGAAAAGAGCAGTAATGAGGGAAACAGGGGATGAGGGGGAGAAGAGAAGAGGAGTAGTTAACGGAACAAAATGATCCAGATGAAGGCTAGGCTACCCTTTTTGTGTTGGTACAAAGTCTGGCTGAAATCTGCCACTGAATTCGGCAGATACACCTCACGCTGAGAGTTGAAATTAGTAGACATTTCCATGAATATCATTAAATGGCGGTTTAGCAGAGTGTCTAAGAGAGGGTACAAAGCAAAGACTTCCTCTTTACGGCTGTGTGTGCTTTAACTGAACACTCAACCAATTCACTGAAGTGGTCCTCATTAAATCCCCACGCACACACTTGTATGTTACAAAGACGGGGGGGTCAACAGCCCCTCGCGGAAGTAAACACATCCTGGGAATAGAGGTGTGCTTGGTACAAGGCAGTTAAACAGAAAGCCAATAGAGTATTTGTTAGCGGCCTGTGTAGAAAGAGACAGGAGTCTATAAGTGTAGCTTCTTGCTAACAGTGGATCTGGAATGTGTCGGGTGGATGATTCACAAAAGCAGAAGGTCAAAAGGTTTGATCCCTGAATGCCAATGTGTCTACCAATGTGTCCTCTACACAAGTCACACACACATTCACACCCAGGTGGCGGAGGCTACCGTGTAGGTCAGGAACGATAACCATTCACACGCACACATGGATTTGGAATTTGGGGTTGCCCAAGGACACTTCAACACATAAACTGTAGGGCTTGAACTATGGACCTTCTGATTATTTGACATGCCAAATGCCCCCAAATTCCTTCCACAAGTTAATGAGGCAGTAAAATATGGGTTTAAATTTGTGTATTTTAGAAAATGATAAATGTAACTTTTTAAAATCAGAATTTAGTTCTCAAAATGTAGGAAAAAAAGGTAGTCAAAGTACTCCCCAAAGAACCCCTGATGATTCATGTAACATCACAGTATTGTGTTAATTTGTGGTTATTGCTTCAGCGATGATATAAGAATTATATTGAGTAGCTGTATTAACTCATAACCCTCAATATGATTACATCATAATGCATGCAGTGCATTACGGTACGTTTAAATTCATTTCGAGGATCATTTGATTACATACCTATTTCATCATCCAGCAGTTATACCTTCAGTTTCTACAGGCTGTGTGTCTGACTTGGCAGGGAAATTTAGGTTTCGGAAGATACATTCCGTCCTATCACAACAACTCCTGATGATGTGGCCTTGAGCCAGGCACTTCATCCAAAAACACACCACTGACGCCGCTCTGTTAACAGCTGAGGTCAGGAAGGTACAGGGAGTGGAAGTGTGTATAACAGCAAATATGAAGATATCAAAACTGCAGAACCTGGAAGGTACAGGGAGTGGAAGTGTGTATAACAGCAAATATGAAGATATCAAAACTGCAGAACCTGGACTATCTGACAACTCTCTTGCTCATGATACACGTCAGACAAACATTATGCCGAACCATCGTTATGTGACAGTGTCAAGTGATGACGTCGAACTCAGATCCTTAGATAAAAAAGATAAAAGCTGTTTGATCAATACATGCTGTGAGCAGGTTTTAATACTCTTCACCCACAGTTGTAAAAGCTAAAGATACCTCCCTAACATTTTCTCTTCTTGAATATTCATTTCTTAAAAACCTATTGCATTTATAACCTGCCATCCCACCTGCCAATCTGGCTGATTAATAGAGTATTACATAAAATCTAAGGCAGGAAGAGTTGCTGTATTTTAATTAAATGCCAGGTATTCAGCACACTGATTCATTTACAGAACCATGAAGGTCTTTGAACAAAAATAGAGTAGTTACAGTACTAAAGAAGGTTGTCATGTTTCTGGTCTGTTTTAAGGCAGTAGAGTGGGAGTTGGTGCCCCCAAGTGGTGGGAAGCAGTCAGCACACAGCCCTGCTGCTGCTGGTGCTGCTGCAGAGGTTTAACTTACACGTCTGCTGCAATGCAGACAGATTTATATGTGTGATGTGTGTCTGTATGTGTTGTGTGTGTGTGTGTTTATTTAGAGATTAGGAAGAGTCTGGTTTCTAAGGATCAGTAAAGCAAGTTTTCATTTACTTTGAGCAAACATTGTGTTGTACAGCCTCTCCATACCATATCCCTGAACCTTGTCTTTTGTTTGCTTGTTGACACAGAAATCGTGGCGGGCAGCCGAGGATGTCAGTGACACAACGCCACGAGAGCGAGCCCTGAAGAGCGTCAGTTTCCAGGAATCGGTCAGCGTTATCTCTGACAGGCCTGCAACCATGGAAGTGGAGAGCCAGCAGATCCAACATGGCTGCCTCAGCAGCCCCAGTAACCGAGCCCACAATGCAGTTGGTGTGAAAGTGGAGACTCCTGACAGCGAGGTGATGCAGGTATGCAGCTTCTCTGAGAAAGACCAAATTCTTGTTATTTTTTTAATTCTTCTAGGATGATTTCAAAATCCCTAAAATTGTTCAGAACTTTGTCATGAATCTTTTTATTTTTTGCTCCAAGTCTTTTTATTTATATTTGTACATAGAGAAATAGTGTACAAATTACATAAATTCAAAGGCATTGATGATTAGAAATAATACAAATATAAACATAAACAAGTAAACAAAATCAAGTGATTGAGAGTGGTCCTTATGGGTTTCAAATTATGCATAATACAGGATCAGTCATATAGAACACCAATATTAGTGACATCTTATTTCTCTGTATAACTTAAAAAAGGTTTCCATGTAGCATGAAATTTTTGAATACATCCTCTTGTAGAGTAACAAATCTTCTCTAGTACCAAATGGTGTAGAAGGTCATTGACCCACATCTTAAAGGTTGGGGGAGGTTTCTCCTTCCACTTAAAAAGTATTAATCGCCTAGCTATAAGAGATGCAAAAGCTATCATATTCTTTGCCTGGCGGTTAAGGTGAGTGTCTTGTGGAGTTATTCCAAATATGGCAGTAATGGCAGAAAGTTCATTAGGTACTTGTAAAACATCTGAAAAAGTTTTAAATATTGACTGCCAGAAATTGTCTAGTTTTGAACAAAACCAGAACATATGCGAGAGGGTGGCTGGTGCTTGCCTGCAACGATCACAAATGGGATCAATGCTAGGTGCGAACTTTGCTAGTCTCACTTTAGACCAATGAAGGCAATGCATGACCTTGAACTGGATAACTGTGTGTCGTAAACAGATTGAAGAGGAATGTATTCTATCTAAAGCTCTTTCCCAAGTCTCCTCAGGAAGTTCAAACCCCAAATCGCCCTCCCATTGAGTCTTTAATGATGTCAAAGGTTCCAAATTATATGTATTTAGTAAGGAGTATATGTTCCCAATATTCCCTTTGGAACCTGAATTAAGCTTCAGAATGGAATTTAGGAGGGTGTTGGGTGGTTGGGATGGGAAGTGAGTAAATGATGTTGATATGAAACTACGGAGCTGCAAAAATCTAAAAAGATGAGAGTTTGGGATGTTAAATTTAAGCTTTAGTTGATCAAAAGATGCTAAAATATTATCAATAAATAGATTCTCTATTGTGGCAACTCCTCTATCAGTCCATTCCTGAAAAGCACTGTCTATGATTGATGGCATGAACTGGTGGTTTCTTGTTATAGGAGCACATGTGGGTATCATAAATCATTTTAAGACTGTTTAATTATGTTGAAATATGAAAAATGCTAACTTTCTTATATAACCTACATTATAATACAATAGTAGTACATGATGGCAATGTTTTTATCTGCTGCGTCCACAGGAGATCCGCTACTTGGACCAGGTTTTAGACGCCGCCTCAGAAACCCCCACCAACGGAAACTCTTCTCCCCCAGAACACATCAAATCAATCAGCATCGACGGAAACTCTCCTTCCGTCTGCGTGTCCGCCTCCTCTCCCATCAGCCACCACTCGGTCGTCGTGGAGGGTCAGAGACAGACCACATTCCTCCATCAGGACGACTCTGCTGTGAGGACCAACGGTCACGTGCAGGCAGAGGAGTCGGCGAGCAGCAGGGCGAGGTTTGAGCTGAGATCGTTTCACGAGGAGAAGCGGCCGGCGAAACTCTTCACCCCTGGAGAGGAGCAGCAGGTCAGGGTGACGAGGAGGCGACCCTCAGAGGAGGTAAATGGCTGTTATATAATGTATCAGCTGTGAGAGACTCAGTAACACAGGAAACACGCAGTAACACAAACAACACAGCAGTAATGTTATTGAGAGTCTAGACTGTGTCTGTATTGACAAGTGTTTGTAATAAGAGAGCAGAGGAAGGCTGGTAAATGTTCTACCAAATGAACATAAAGTAAACAAGCATTATCTAAACTGCTTGCTTTGTTGCATGAGACACAATAAAATGGCGGCTACATTGTGACAGGGTGAGCTTAAAAATGAAAGTTTAAGCTTCAAATTAATGACTGATGGTATTAATACACATCAATCCTAAAATGAGTCATCCTTTTTATTGTAAAAATGTCAAAACCAGACTTTTATCTTGAAGAAAAACATGATGGCTGAGCTTTTCTTCGTAGGTAAAATAAGATTCTCAAGAGCAGGGGTGTCAAACATATGGCCCGTGGGCCAGAAAGGGTCCAATCTGGCCCACTCGATGACTTTGCTAAGTGTAAAACTTGCAGAGAAGTCGTACTGCTGTTTCTATTTGTCTATTTGTCCAAATGATCCAGCTCCTATTTCTTCACAGAGGTTATGTGTATGTGGCCCATGAACTAAAATGAGTTTGACAGCCCTGCTCAGGACAAGTACAGTATATATTCATGGCTTTCACTCAAAGTTGACAAGTCAGGCCTGTTCTCTAAGGTTTAAGAAACCAGCTTCAGCATTAAAACACAGGTCTAAAAAATATGAATATTGTTGAGTTAAAAATGTACAAAAGGTAGTTTTTCCAGGAACGGTATTAGTTTATATGTTTGTACTTGATTCATCTACATCTTTACATACAGCTTATACTGTACTCATCACAATACAGTTCAAATCATAAAAAGTCAAATCATAAAATCGAGAAATTAGAGCCTAAGGGGAAGCAGTTTTCAAATCGAGAGTGCATTAACCCTGTGTAACAGGAGCACATGATGCAACCGCCCACAAGGTTAGTTGTGGTTCACATTGTCATCACAGATAAGGGAACAGTGATGACCAGTGGAAACAAATGAAAAACAAACCATGGAAAACAAGATCATTATCAGCCGAGTCACAGTGTTTATGAGCCTCTGATCTGTCTCCTGATCTCTAGCAAACAGCTGGTTGGTGAGGTGATGGAAAGCAGGTATTTCCTGTATCACCTGTCAGCAGACCCCGAACAGGCTGCATTGGATGGGAGCGGGGGCAAAGTGATTTCAAATCTTTGTCCTGTTTTCGTTAGCTAATATGTCATGAGAAGCTAATGCTAATGGAATATTGCTGGAAATGCTCCTTATTAAGTCATTTTCCTAGCCGCTTATCCTGTTGGGGGTCGTTAGGGGGCTGGAGCCTATCACAGCTGACATTAGGCGAGAGGCAGGGTACACCCTGGACAGGTCACCAGACTATCACAGGGCTGACACATAAAGACAGACAACCATTCACACTCACATTCACACCTACGGACAGTTTAGAGTCACCAGTTAACCTGCATGTCGTTGGACTGTGGGAGGAAGCCTGAGTACCTGGAGAAAACCCACTCTGCCACTGGGACACCATGCACCACCATGCTGCTTGAATATTCATCGCCCTCTTACCTCCTTTCCCAGGTTCAGGAGCTGGAGCGTGAGCGTCAGGAGCTGATCAAAGACCAGGCAGTGAAGAAAAACCCTGGCATCGCCCAGCGTTGGTGGAACCCTCCCCAGGAGGTAGCCTCCCATTTTATTTTATTGTTTGCTATTTTGACTCCATCGACCTCCTGACAAACCGATTTGTTGGTCTTTTGGTTGATTTTTTTTTTTTTTAATTAATTTTAGGTTCCTTTGGAAGAACAGCTGGATGCAGAGCAGCTTGAGTCTCTCAAGAAATACCAGGAGAGGAAACAGCAGAAACAGGGTCAAACTTATACATACACACAGGTAACTCACACACACATAGGACCAGTGATGCAGGATATGAAGATGATGTTTGATCACCAGTGTTAGATTTGTTGAGCTTTTTATATTTCGTGCGAGGGTGATCCTTGTTGTTGTACATTTGCTTCTAACCTTCTAACTCTCCTTTGTATTCTGTCCTCCCATCTCTATTTGCAGCCCCAGGTGTCAGGTCCTCCCACCATGGTGACCTTCGATCCTGAGCTAAACAGGAAGGACGACATTGTGGAGGAGCAGATTGACTTCTCTTCTGCCAGGAAGCAGTTTCTCCAAGGGGGGCAAACCAAGAGGGACGTAGCTCCTCAAATATACTCCGCCAAACCATTTTCGAAATCCAGGGGCAGCCAGGGGAGCAGTGACATTGTCGAAGAAACCGGGGAGGGTCACGTGACCTGGTCTGATGAAGGAATTGCGACAGAATTCACTTGTGCACGAGCTGTAATGACAATCCTGCCTGATGAGGAGGAAGGGAAGAGCCATTTCAATCCAGGTTTCCACCCAGAGGAGTCTGACTCAGGGTTAGACGAGTTATCTGTCCGTTCTCAGGACACCACTGTGTTTAGCTTGGATAACGTTTCTGACAGCGGGGCTTCGCTACCGCCTACCCCGCTGCCGCTTACCCCGGTGTCACCGCCCACCCCCCAGCCCACCACGCCAGTCAATGGGCAGACCAGCAGCAGTCCAACGGAAGACGACCTGGAGTACCACGCAGGGGTACTTGTCCAAAATGCCATCCAAAATGCCCTGGCAGCTCGGGATGGAGGGGAGTGGCAGGCATCTGACTTGAATTCCTCCCAACCTAGCGCCCCTGTGTCTCCATCCTCAGTTTCTACGAGTAGCCCAGTGCCAGTTTCTTCCTCTCCTGTGTCTTCTGGTGGAGCTCCCAGCCTCCAGTCACCAGTGTCCTCCAGTCCTGCTCCATCCGACGTGTCGCCTCAGCCAGACAGACGACCAGAAGTAAGAGTCATTGCCCAAGAGAAGCCTTCAGAGTCCGAACATGCTGTGCAGCAGCAGCAGCAGCAGCAGCAGCAGCCCTCCAGTCCAGCACAGCAAACACAGCTCCAGACGCCTTCTCCACCTCCTTCTCAGCCCGTCTCTCCACCCCAGAGACCCAGAGATGGAGGCCCCAGAATCAAAATCCAGTCCTCTTACGCCAGAGCTCTCGCCTCCTCAGCCCCGGCTCCAGCTCCCGCACCTGCTCCTGTCTCTGCAGCTCCGGTTTCCAGGCCGACCCCAGTCTACCGTCCCCCTTCTCCTCCGAGCCCAGAAAAACCAGAATTCAGCTACTTCAGCAAATACTCCGAAGCAGCCGAACTGCGCAGCACGGCAGCAGCAGCACGAGGCCCTGAGGCGGAGGCAGCGAGCGGCCCGTTCCGCCTGCGCTCCAAGAAGCAGCGAACTTTGTCCATGATTGAAGAGGAGATCCGAGCGGCTCAGCAGAGGGAGGAGGAGCTGAAGAAACAGAGGGAGGAGCAACCTGTTGTTATTGTCCGCCCCAGCAACCCTTCATACAACAGTCTCGGTTCTGTGAGGTCGGGGATGCGGCAGACTAAGATTTCCCCAGCAGATAAGATGAAGAGCAACAGCCTGCCAGCGAGACTCACACTGACAGCGAAGACAGCACCAGGTTAGTGAGCACTAAGGTGTTGTTGTTGCAGTAGAACTTGCCACCCATGCTCCAACAGACATATCTAACTTTTTTCCGTGATGTGCAGGAAAAATCGATAAGGTTCGACCTGCACCGCCTGTCTCACCCTCGCCTTCAGACGGAGCCTTGTCTGACGCCGGCAGCGAGGACTCTGGAGGACGGCCCAAAAACTTCATGCAGACACTAATGGAAGACTATGAAACACACAAAGTGAAGAGGAGGGAGAAGCTAGAGGACAACAGTGTGAGTGTTTGAACCTTGATAAACTAGATTAGCAGAGGAAGGACAACTTTTACTCTCAGTAAATAAAATGTAACTAATTAAGCCTGTCGAAGTTCTTGTTGAATGTCTGGACATAAGACACATGCAACAAAGCTGCCAAAGTGTAGTGAGTGACCCCAGCTCATCCCACATTACGTGCTTGTTTGGCTCTTGTGGCTCAGTGGGAACTGGTAATGTCAACATGGCTGAATGCTTCCATCCTTAGCCTGCTGGCATTAGCTAATACTGTATAACACCAAAGGGAATTTCCCAGCCTGAAGCAGGAAGTGAAACTGAAAGTAAGTCACAGACGCTGGGGGATTTCTGTCCTGACTCCATCTTTCCCATTTTTTTTGTATCTGAATACGTCTGGCAGTGTGTCATTATTCAGAATTAGGTCTCTGCTGAGAAGTATTGTATTGTGGCGGACTAAACTGTCATAATAACTGTGTGAAGAATGATTGGCTCACATGGTGGGAAAAAGTTACATAACCAGGAAATGTCACAGACAACAGTTTCACTTCTCCACCTGTTCTTAAGCACCATACACTTGATTTAATATTCACAGAGGAGAATAGATTAATGACATGACATGGCACCAACAGATCATATACTGCAAGGGTTGTTGTCACCCGCTGATGTTGTTATTGTTTATCCATCACATGTGTTGACTCTTTGTACTGTTGCTTCCCTCCTGCTGGTCGGCCAGTATGCCCGTTTGTTGCTGGCCAATGAGGTAACCAATGAGGTATCTGTCTCACCTCAAACCTGTTCACTCCATGAGCGGCCTTCACTGACAGACCTGGGTCAGACTAAAATGTAAAGTCTCAGAAAAAGTGATGCATTCCCGTTTATATTTAGCCTGTTTCTGTAACTGCTGAAGATCATTATGGGTTAATAGACCAAGACAGCACACTCTATATCATATACCAGTCCATGCTCCATACTTGATCTGTACAGGGACGTGAACCGGTGACCCTCTGGTTCCCAAGCCAAGTTCCTTTGGACTGAGCTACTGCTGCCCTGAAATTATTATACACAGTGATTAGGAGAGGATATTAAATCTATTTGTTTCAGAGGGTGACCTCAGTTCAGCTCACAAAGAGGAGAAAGTTACCAAATACAGAAGAGTTGCAAGAGCGGAGTTTTCCATGAGCAAACACTTTCTTCTTTCCCAAGAAATGTGCACAACATTGTAGATGAGTCAACAGGAAGGAACACAAACTATGTCACTTCTCTCAGCCCCCCATATATGAAACTGGTCCAACAAATATAGATGGGGATGTATTGTTTTAGTTCGAAACCTTTGACCATCACTTATCTGATCCCAGGTCTGCTTCTGGTCTCACTGCATTACTGTTCTGCTCTGTGGTGTTGGTGCTGCATGTGCTTGTCCATGGATTTGGTGTGACCTTTGACCTCCCCTCCACCAATGCACAGTGTTATGCATTTGCCTCCCCATGTATACAACACATATACAGCACCAGTAATAAAATAAAATAGGAGATGTGCGCTACTTAAAGAAATACTATGCAGGATCTTCCTAAAAAGAAGTAATCCCTTTATCTGTCTTCACTCTGCCCTCTGCCTGTAGTTTCTTATTTTCTTTTTATTTTCTGTGTTTGGATCATTTATGGGCGTGTACCCCCACAGCGCTCAGATGAAGTTGAGGCTTTACAAAAAGGTGCCAACAAGCTGTCAGACTGTAAGCAGCAGGCATTTAAAAAAACACAAATATAGTGAGGCGAAATGCCAATACAGAGTGAACCCAGGGTTGGCGTTTTCTACTTTCGCCAGCGAGCATGTTTACAGACAGTCCTACATTGTATAGCTTTATTATTATTTCATTATTTTGGATGACAAAACTGAATAAATGTCCATTTCTTGGATGATAAACCTCAGATAATGATACTTTTCTGTCAAATTAATGTATATATGGTTTCAAATATATCATTTTTTTCCTTCTGAATACACAGCATGTTTTATTCAAACAGTATACAACTGTTAAATAATATGTTTTTAAAAAGATAAGCTTTTCTAAGTTGTTATACGTGGTGTATGTCTGTGTTGTGATCACCATCAGCTGGAGGTTGTAGACATATTAGCGAGCATCAACACTTCTACTTACTACTCAAGTACAAGCTTAAGTAGGGCTCAGTGTTTGGCAGTCATTTAGTGTCCATCATTTTCTACCCACAGTCTTCCCTTCACCTTGGATCCCTGCTCACAAAGACGTCTTTCCTGTGTGTGTAGATGAGCTTATGTGTGTGTGAATGTGTGGGTCTTGGAGGGACGGTAATTGGGGAACATATATTAATGGAGCAAATCTAGTGATAAAGCATGAAACTCTCCCTGACATGGAGTAAAGTGACTTTTGTTTTTTACCATCAAATACTGCAGGTGCGCTTCATTTGGTGGTTTATTGTGATAGATACGTCTTAAGGACTCCATTACTGCTGGATGGTTTAACCAAGCGCTCCCTCAGTTTTTGATATACACTGCATGCCTTTTTAAAGCCACTGTGGTGTGTCTTGTTTTTGTGATTCCGTTATATCCCTTGAGCCGTGGAAAAGCATGGGTTTTTTTCAGTGAACACTTTATGCTAACCATTAACTCAGACTGTGCTCAGATCTAATTGATTGTCTTGCGATTGACAGGTTCTGGAGGCCACTCGCGTCACCAGGAGGAAAAGCGACATGGCGCGGAAGTGGGAAGCCGGTATCTATGCCAACGAGGAAGGAGAGGAAGAAGAAGAAGAGGAGGAGGAGGAGGAAGAGGAGGAGGAGTAGACTGCTCCTTCCAGAGACAGTTAAGGGACCGAGAGGGAAGGAGGAGGAAGAGACTGAAGGAAAAACGCAGCGAGGACGTGGAAAGGAAACAGTATTTATTTCACTCATAGTATTCTGATCACATGACCCACTGGCTCAACCAGTGGGACTCATCAAAGAGATGCATCGAGTTGTGGATTTTAGAGGATTGAAGGCCGACAGTATGTGAAGAGACTGAGTATGTGAGAGACATTTGAAGTGTTGAGGTGATGCAAGAGACACTTTGAAAGGGTTTGATGGTGGTTTAAGAGCGCTGCTCAGAAGTGCATTGGGAATTGAAGGTTTTTAATAGTTGGTAGACGCTGAATGACGTAAATATTCATAGGATTTTTCATTTACCTGTTTTTTTTTATTGAAATATGGGCTGAGATCTAAAGAATCAATCTAAAGATTTTATTTTGACTGGTTGCCTGAGACTTGCTGATGATGGTTTTGGCAGTGGGTGCTTGATAATAACCCCAATGTTCAATTCAAAATGTGTGGAGAGGGTTGCAAACGACAAACAGGCATATGCAGAGTGACTATGAAGAAACTTTTAACTGAAAGGAGTTAAAGAGAGGAGACAAAGCGAGGCCTGATATCTGTCAGATTTTGATGATGCTGCAATGTTTTCCAGGCACTTAAACAAATTGGAGCATCGCCTTCAGAGCCCGTAAAGTTTAACCTTCTGCATCCTGTAGTGCCACAACACACCACAGATATAACACATGTACGGCATGTCGGTGGGAGCTTTTGCAATCCTTTTAAGCATCTGCAATAAATCTTAAGTGCCGACTTGAGGGTCCTTGAACTGTTGAATGCTAGCGAGGAAATTTGAAAAACTAGCATCGAGGTTCAACTTTGCCTTAGATCGTCAGTGATTGTTGGATGCACGATATGTATGATGTATTTTATCTTCTCTTATTCTGCAGTTTCAATAGACCTTAGAGAAAATACCACATTAGATAGAAGTCTGTCTATAAAACACTATTCTTCAGTGACTTCATGTCTATTAAGTGACGGACACATGGGAAAGAGGGAAGCTAACTGCGGGTCATGTTTGCGTCACTTCAGTCAGAGTGTGTATGAAATAAAGGGCTGGGTCGAGGGCTTTTATATCCTAAAGTAAATCACTTATTTTACCTTCGCTGGCTACGTCGCTTTGTTGACCTGTGCTTTCTGATGTAAGGAGTTGTTTCATGTATTATACTGAGGTAGGATTGTGTATTTGATATATGAACATGTATGTTAAGATTCCAGTGAGGGCGACTGCCATGTATCTACTATACCTTGCTAGCTGAGGATAAAGTTTGATGAAAAATATTGAAAAAGCGTTTTATAAAAAAAAAGTTGTTTTACCAAAAACAGAATGTTGTTATTTAGAGAACAGTCTGCCTACGCTTTTAAAAAATCTATTTAAGAAGTTTCTGATTGTGTGCATGGAATGACATTCATTCCTAACCTGACACAAGCACACAACAAGCAGAAGGTAACCGACATTGCAAAGGCTCATTAACAGGCCATAACTACAGGCTCAACTTCTGCTCATTTTGTATGATAATAACGTAACAGGGGAGGTTCATGTGTTGGGGTTGTCAGTTTTTTTACTAAATATATTGTGAGCTTTGATTTTACAGGATGTGACTTCCTGTTTTAAATGAACGATGAATGATTTACTGCGATACTGTGGATTGTCCAGGTGTGGAAAGCAAAGTTCAGCTTCAAAACTAAACACATTGAAACAGGAGTAATCCCTGTAGCCTAGAGGATTGTCTTTAAAGGGACAGTTCACCCCCAAATCAAAAATACATATTTTGCCCCTTACCTGTAGTGCTGTTTATCAGTCTAGATTGTTTTGATGTGAGTTGCCGAGTGTCGGAGATATTGGCAGTAGAGATGTCTGCCTTATTTCCGATATAACAGAACTAGATGGAACTAGGCTTGTGGTGCTGCAAAAAAGTGAATTTTATAAACTCAACATCAGTGTCTCTTTCCAGAAATCATGACCCATTTATTCAAGATAATCCACAGACCTTGTTGTGGCCGGTTTCATGGAACTATTTTCTTTGTACCGAACAACTGCCAACCATATCACCCCACAGGAGGAAGAGTGCATCTACTCACGGACAGGAGGCTTTGTTTTTGACAGCATAAGCTGTAAAAATTAAGGGTGCTCTCCTCAGCTGAGCTGTGACGTTAGCTAGCTAGCTAGTGGTCATAGGTGAGCTAGCAGTAGATGCACACTTCCTTCTATGTGGTGATATGGTTGGCGGGTATATTTCCATAGAAAGAAAATAGTTCCAACATGAAACTGCTCACAAAGAGGTAAGGTAAGAAGAAAAATATATATTTCTGATTTTAAATCAGAAGCAGAAGGAAGTGTGCATCTACTCACGAACAAGAGTCTCGTGCTTGTGACAGCACGAGACTCTTGTTCGTGAGTGTAATTAATGGTGTTCTTATTGGGTAAGCCGTAACGTTAGCTAGCTAGCTAGTATTGATAGGTGAGCTAGCAGTAGATGCACGTTTCCTTCTGTGTGGTGATATGGTTGGCAGATATATTTCCATAGAAAGAAAATAGTTCTGACATGAAACTGCTCACAAAGAGGTAAGGCAAGAAGAATAATATGTATTTTTGATTATGGGTAGGAAGCAGAAGGAAGTGTGCATCTACTCACGGACAAGAGGTTCATGCTTATGACAGCACGAGATGTAAATATTAATGGCATTCTTCATCGCTAAGCTGTAACGTTAGCTAGCTAAGTGAAGATATGGCAGCTAGCAGTAGATGCACGCTTCCTTCTTCGTGGTGATATGGTTGGTAGGTGTAGTTCAGTAGCAAAAAAAACAGTTCTTATATGAAACTGCTCACAACAAGGTCATGATTTCTGGATAGAGACATCGCTGTTGAGTTTTTCAAATGTTTTTGGCGCTTTCAGCACCACAAGCCGAATGCCATCTAGTTCCATTATATTCTAGAGAGGGCAGACATCTTTACGACGGATATCACCAACACCCAGCAGCTTACGCCAGAACGATCTAGACTGATCAGTAGCACTACAAGTAAGAGGAAAAAATATGTATTCTCGATAAGGGGTGAACTGTTCCTTTAAATGAGAACTGAAAGTAGAAATGTGTCAGCGTGGCTGTACAAACAGTATTTTTGAACCACTTTAACTGAAAAGTAGCAAAGTGATTTTGTTTGTCAGTCTTTTTAGCTTGTTTATTGAAACCTTTGAGATTTTCTTTCGGCATAAGGATGTCAAGAAGATGGTGAGAAAGATTATCCTGTAAACCCTAGGTCGATCACAGAATCTACTAGCGTGTCTTGTCCTGTAAGTGTCCTTCGGCCAGGCACTGACCTTTGTGTTTGCTCACAAACACACTGAATAAATTCTATATCACTAAAACGGAGGTAAACTTGCACAGAAGATAAAGAATTGCGGGACACATACTAACCCTTGACAATAATGACTCTCTATTATATTTATTGGGACAGTCCCAGCCTGAGTGCAACTTATCTGACTCTATTTAATTATCTATTTGCTCTCTGAGGGAAACGTAGTGCCAGCAGCCACCAAGAGGAAGTAAGAACCGAGGACTCATGCCTATGTGATGTGCCCATTTCCTATTTTTTGAGACTGAGATTTGATGGTGGTGCAGCAGAACATTGTGTCGAGGTACAGTGCCGCTGACGCTGATGTGAGAGTCATTTTGCCACATCACTTAAAGGATGAACAAAATGGTATTTTTTGCTTTACCATGTGAGAGATATTCGATTGCAGAGGAGAGTGAACAGACATTTTTTATTCAGGATGAATGGCATGGTGATACAGATCCTTTGTGACGGATGATAATTTTACAGTGGCCTGTTCGGGATGCCAGCTGAGCATCTACTGTATCTGAGCTTTATTCACAGCACGATTTGAGTTTTAAGCAACTAAAGCAAATGGCTTCCTCCCTAGTTTACTGTAACTGCTGCAGCACATTGTAAAACTGTTTTATTGTACACAAACACACACACACGCTGTCCTCATGTCACCTTTTAGGACACAATTGAAATTTGAGTTCTCATTGGATACAAAGCTTTTGAAATGGTAACAGACATCATGCACACTCAGAGGAGTTCTAATTGTGTGATTTATTATAATTATTATTATTATTATTATTATTATTATGCTTTTGTTGTTTGAATTCATGGTGCACAGATGATTTATTTATCATTTTAAAATGCTGGGAGCTTGTTTTCACCTGCAGGAGAGCCCGAGCTTCAGTGTGGGACTGTCTGTGTGTGTGTGATGAAGCAATCTTATTATACAGTATACAGTATAACCTCTTTTCCTATGTTAACCACTTGTATGCTCATATTCTGCTTTGTTATTTTATAGCACATGTAAGGCTCACAGTTATACACCTACTATACATATTATGAATATTTTCTCATTAAAAACAAAACCTGTACATGTGGGATTTCTGAGTGGTTCTTCATGTTAATGAGCTTATGATTACCAGTTAACTCAGGGGCTGCGGCTCTAGAGCCACATATATATTAGTGTTATAGGCCTAAAGAAATTCTTACATTCTCAAATTGTAAAAATGTGAAGCCTCTATCCTCCTGAGACCCTGTGTCCTCATATGAGGACATCACGTTATGGGTTTCCTTGACCTTCTACGTTCATGGACACTTTTTTTGTGTCATCTAGTGGTAGTAAGAGCACAATACACTAATCCATGTGGCACTTTATGCTTGAAATTTCGTTGAACCTCCATAGCAGCGGTGAGTCTTGAGTTTCCCTAGCTGGTTAGCTATGAATGCTAAATCCAAACAAGTAAAGTCTCGGAATAAAATAGACCAGTGGTTCCCAACTGGTGGGTTGCGGTCCAAAAGTGGGTCACAGGTCAATTCTGAATGGACCACAAGTGACTTTCACATGTGTCAAGTTTTTAAAAAATACGCTTTATTTTAACACTATCCTCGCCATAGATTTTCTTTCGTTTATGACAGAACGCTTCCCCGTCATCGATGAGATATTCCAATAATCCGTGTTTTCACTGTTATAAGATAGGGGGCACTGTTACACATCTTGTGAAATAGAACAGCACTGCCGTGTCCATAAACAAACTAAGAAGAAGATCTGCTGGAAACCAGAGGAAGATGTCATTTACAAAGATGTAGCAGCCTGTAAACCGCACGAAAATGCAGGCACTGACAGAAAAGTTTATGGTTGCACAAGTTGCGAAGATGTTGATGGACTTAAACTCTGACAATTCCTGTTTTGATCAACATTCTGAATCTGATTTGGACAAAGAAGCAAATAAGTTTGGTGGGATGAAATGGGATCTCCATGACGATGACAGCGACACACGGACAAGACGACCGAGAGGCGAGGGAGACAACAGTATTGACACTGAACATAGCAACGTGTTCCACAATACTTCAAACAGAATATTATTTTCAGTATTATTAATATTATTTTTTTCATTTATACAATTCAAACTGATGTAAGGAAATTAGAAAAAAATGTAAATGTGAAGTTTATTTTATACTTAAAAATGACTGTCTTTGACAAAAATGCATTTTTCTAATTTTTTTAATGAAAATGCACAAATTCAAGTGTTGATTGAAAAATAAATTGAGTAAGAGAGAATAATATGGTTTTTTGTGTTTAAAAACAGAAGGTTTCTTCTTTAGTTTCATGTATATACAGTTTACATATTCATAGAGCAAATTATTCTGTGGGTCTCTAAAGATTAGTGAATATGACAAAAAATGCTGGTGGTGACTGGCAACTTAAAAACAATATTCTGGCAGGGAAAGTGTTAAAGTACAGTGAATATCCGGTACAGAGCTTTTATTTTGAAGTGTTATTTCCTGTAGTGACTGACAGCTACTTAACAGAGACAGCAAACTAACTTGATGGCATAGCCAAACACAAGTATGATGCTTTGTTGCACCTTTTTTTTTTTATTGTTTTTGGTCAAAAATGACTCCTGATAGTCAAGGTTGCCGACCCCTGAGTTAACTAAAAACCACAAGCTTTACATTACAAGAGACCATTTTTAAAAAAGTGCACACATTTTTAGATTGACCTCTCTGACAGCTTTTTGTTTGTCAGATCATGGGATAACACACTGTGAGCAGCAGCTGTTTTGAAAGTTCCTTTGTGCGTTGGATACATTGTTTTTCAGCAGCCGGCACGTAATATCAGATACTGGATCCTCCATCAGCTCTACAACCAAGGAGAGTTTTCAACCATCACAAGCACACTGAAAACAAAAAACAAGTGTACACTGTCGCTCTCATTTATGGGCCAAAACTTAAACTGGTTCTACCTCCTCCAGTGTGAGGATTTGCTGTTTGTTTCATGTTTTATATCATTTAAAGAGAATCTCTTTGGCTTTTTTGATTGTTGGTTGGAAAAAAGCAACTGGAAGACTCAGGGAATATGTGATGGACTTTTTTTTACTGTGTTCTCACATTTTGCACTCTAAACATGTTGATTAATAGAAAAGCAAACAAAAATGAAATTAGTTTCAGATTGAGATTCTCTCTGTCTGTCGCATGATGATCATTGTGGTCTGACATGTTTTTCTAGCTACTATACCACAGAGACCCAGAGCAATACCGCTTGTTCTCTTCATTTTACTTTCTTTTGTGCTCTGTTCAGTCAAGTGTTTTTCTTTTAGAGGGGCAGTTCAACCTAAAATCAAAAACACATATTTTTCTTCTTACTCTGCCTCTTTGTGCGCAGTTTCTTGTCTAAACTTTTTTTCCTACCAAAATACACCCCCCAACCATATCACCACACAGAAGGAAGTGTGCATCTACTGCTAGCTCACCTAGCACCACTGAGCTAGCTAACATAACAGCTCAGCCGAGGAGGACGTCATTAATATTTACATCTCACACTGTCACAAACACAAGCAGATGCACACTCCCTTCTGTGCAGTGATATGGTCGGCGGGAGTAGTTCCTTAGAAAGAAAATAGCTCCTGCACAAAACTGCTCTGAGATGGATTTTCTGGCTGTTGCATGATGATCATTGTGGTCTGACATTTTTTTCTAGATACCATACCACAGAGACCCAGAGTAATACCAGCTCTTTTGTTTGTTTTATTTTCTCTTTTGTGCTCTGTTCAGTCAAGTGTTTTTCTTTTAAAGGGTCCGTTCAACCCAAAATCAAAAATACATATTTTTCTTTACCTCTTTGTGAGCATGTTGGTGGAGATTCTCAGTCATCCAGGTCATGGTAATCTTGTGTGTCATACTGTAAGATATAGCACTTAGGCCCATTGTGAGCAGTTTCATTTCAGAACTATTTTCGTTCTACTGAAATAAACCCGCCAACCATATCACCACACCGAAGGAAGCGTGCATCCACTACTAGCTCACCTAGCTCACCTACCACCACTGAGCTAGCTAACATAACAGCTCAGCCGAGAGGAGGATGCCATTAATGCTTACATCTCACCATGTCACAAGCATCAGCCTCACGTCCATGAGTAGATGCACGCTTCCTTCTGCACAGTGATATTGTTGGCAGGAGTAGTTCTGAAGAAAGAAAATAGTTCCTAAATGAAACTGCTCACAGTAAGGTCTGTGGATTATTTCGAGTAACCAGGTCATAAGTTCTGAGACATTGCTGCTGAGTTTTTCAAATGTAGTTTTTTGCCGCTTTGAGCATCACGAGCTGAGTGCCATCTGGTTCCACTATATTGGAGAGAAGGCAGACATCTCTACAGCCGATATCTCCAACACCCTGCAACTCACATCAAAACAATCTAAACTGTTAAGAAGCATTACAAGTGAGAGAAAAAATATGTATTTGTGATTTTGGGGTGAACTATCCCTTTAAGACTTTTAAATGTTGATACCTACAGTCATGAGCAAGATTGTTAACCTCAAACTGTATGGCAGCGGTTGGCGGGGTGGTTTCCCGTGTCTCTCACACACTGTTCTGTGTCATCAGGCGTGGTGTGTGAGCGCGTTTGAGGAAGTGGGCGTGAGACAGTGTGTTTATTTTCACCCTCTTTGCCTCCACTGCACATACACTGACTCTTGGTGAGAAGAGCCAGAGCGTCCTTCACTGCATCAGAGTAACTTTATTGACTTCTGCATTAGTTCGCATTCAGTGTGATTTGGACTTTACTAAGGAAGTCTTAGTGGAGGCAGTGAGTTAAAGTCTGATCATGGTCATGCCGACTCTGTGTCAAGCCGCCTTCACGGCTCTCCGGCAGATATGGCCGGTGTTAGTGCTGGAGCAGCTGGGCAGCACTTTCTTCGACACCGCCCTGCAGATGGTGGCCAAGGACCGGTCTGCCAACGCCACCTACCCCGATGCGCACCTCTCCACGGGGGACAGCCAGCAGAAGTTCATGACGGACTTCTTTATGATCTACAACCTCATCATCAGGCTAGTTCCGATCATACCCTCGATGCTGCTGGCCAGGTTAGGTGACCGCGGCTGGAGGAGAGTCCCCATCTTAGTGCCCCTCAGCGGGTACCTGCTGTCCAGGCTCGCCCTGCTCCTGGTGGTGATATTCCGCTTCCCTCTGGAGGTGATGTACGGCGCGGGGGTTGTCTTCGGGCTGTCCGGGGGATTCTGTGCCTTCTGGCCCGGCGTGATGACGCTGGTGTCGCTCTCCTCCACCGCTGCTGACCGCTCCAAGGTCAGTGCTCTCAGATAGGGCTCCCAGCTTTTCAATTATAATACAGTATGAAGACCACTTAGGAAACTCTTGTATTAAGATTAATTTTCAGTATCATTAGTCAACAAAATTATAGCCAACTTTGATCATTCTAACAAAGCATTTTACATCATAGGGCAACTTTAATGATATTAGCCCATGTTTGGCAATTTGTCATTTGTTGTAAAGTATTTTTATAACAGTCAGACCTAATAAGCCAACTTGCATGTCATTCCTTTATAAATGCACATAAATGTTGATTTAAACCACAAAAGCATATGCAAATAGAAAGACAAAAACAAAAACGATAATATTAGCCATGATAATAGCAGGATAGCAGGTCTGGTGGGCAGCCTCATCTGTTCCTGCCTTAAAAATGCCACAGTATAGTATGTCATAAAGATATTATAAAAACATGTCATGGTATAGTATGGTGAAAAAATATATAAAATGTCCCTAGTATAGTATGTCTTAAAAAATGTCATAGTATAATTTGCTTTAAAAATATTAAAAAAATGATGTTGTAGTAGCAGTAGTAAAGTATGCCCTAAAATGTCACCGTATAGTATGCCATGAAAATATCATTTAAAGTGTCATATTATTGTATGCTAAAAAATATGATAAAAAAATGTCATATAATAGTATGTCTTAGAATTATAATAAACATGTCATCGCACAATATGCCTTAAAAAATGTCATAGAAATATCATTTAAAAATGTGTCATAGTAAAGTATGCTATAAAAATATCATGAAAAGTAATAATATAGTGTGCCATAAAAAATGTCATGGTATACTATGCTATAAAAATAATCATACAAATTTTTCGTAGAATAGATTGCCATAAAAATATCATAAAAATGTCATAGTATAGTATGTCAAAAAAAAATAGCATAAAAAATGTTAGTATAGTATGTCATAAAAATGTCATAAAAAATGTCATAGTAGCCTAAAAATATTATAAAAAAATGTCATAGTATAGTATGTAAAAAAAATTGTAAAAAATGTCATAGTATAGTACGTCAAAAAAAATATTGTAAAAAATGTCATAGTATAGCATGTCAAAAAAAATATTGTAAAAAATGTAATAGTATATTATGTCAAAAAATATTGTAAAAAATGTCATAGTATAGTTTGCAAAAAAAATGTCATAGAATGACAGTGAACGTTGTATTTAGTCAGGACATGAGGTCAACATTTAAACAACGTAACGTGTGTCCATGTCCCATGCAGGTGATGATGAAGGTGGAGCTGCTGTATGGGATAGCAGGTCTGGTGGGCAGCCTCATGTCGGGTCATCTGTTCCTGCTGTACAGCTCCAGTCTGGGAAACGGGACCATCCTGCTCACTGTGAGCGCACTGCTGCACCTGCTCTGCCTCATACACTCCATAGTCCTGCTGCAGGTCAGTGTGTGTGTTTAAATATTTGTGTCTATGTAAGCTAAGGCTGCACCGGTGCACTGGGATCTAGCTACGGACCCGTAATAAAAATTCCACATTTAGGTTTTATAATCTAGTCTAATTATTATTGAGATAAACTTTTGTTTCCTGTTTGAAATAGAAATAAAGATACTAACTCTCTGTTGACTTAATGACTAATTTACCAATAAGAAATAATTAACCACTCATTTTAGTCATAGTGACAGTTTAATAAGAGGGAAAGTTGAAACAAAAACCCAGCTGCCATTATATTTTGGCTTCTGTTCCCTATAAAAAAATATTTTATTTTTTGTTTGCTTTACGCTACAGTTCCAAAAGCCAGAGTCTGAACAATGGGTCCCTGTTGTCACTCAACCTTGCCCCACCTTTAAAAGTATTTTTGAGCTGATGATAAATCACCTGACCAGTTTCCTCCTATGCCATGCAAGGAACTATGTCCTACTGTATGTTACTGGAATGGATGATGCAAGTGCAGCTCACCTGCATTGCTCAAGCTACACTCTACCTCTAATTTCAAACACTTGGATCCAGACACTGGAATAAACTCACTCTTGTCAACTCTATGTTTTTTAGAGCACAAGCAAAGCAACCAGAGCCACATTTTCAGCCTTTAATCCCCAAATTTAGCCTTTACTGCAACAGCTGATCAGTTTAGAGCTCATGCAGATGTTAAATATGTGTTACCATGTGTCCATCTTAAATTAAGGTCAAACCAGTATCCAACAGCGAGCCAGAGGACAACTGCCACCTCCTCTCTCATGACTCCAGCGAAGTTCCCGTGGAAGCTCCTGCTGGGAGAAGCATGCTGAACGTGGCTCTCTTGTTTGCAGCTGCCATGCTGTACACCTCTGCAGTGGGTGGAGCCATAGAAATACTGGGCATCTTTGTGCTCAAAGAGCCACTCAGCTGGAATGCTGCTCAGGTGACATTTTGCTCTTGTTGTATTTATTGAAGTCTTGAATTTGTGATTTTGGTGCTTCAAAGATAAAACAACAGGGTTTTGTTGATTTAAAATTGATCCAATAAAATGATTAGACACTAACACAGAATAGCATCAGCTGAAATGATCTTTTGCTCACTCTCTCTCTCTCTCTCTCTCTCTCTCTCTCTCTTGCTCCAGGTGGGTTATGGGAACGCAGCAGGCTGTTTAATTTTCATCACCAGTTTCCTTGGTGTCACGGTGTTCCGCCGCTGTGCCAGCGACGTGGCACTCATCCTGATCGGCATGCTGTCATTCGCCACGGGGATTTACTTCATGTCCTTCGTCACGACAACCTTGACGTTCTACCTTGGTGAGTATCTCAGACTGAGGACGAGGAACATTTGAACCCCTCCCAACAGAAAATCCTGCCGTTGCAGTTCAGGCCATGTTTTCTTCCTGCAGTTTTATGACTAACCTGACCAAAGCCACAACTTTCCTGCACACTCACCACTTTGTTCCACTTTCAATAACAAAATACAGCAGGAACATACTCATCATAATCAACATAATCATCTCATCTTAACCGTGTCTGATGAACAGTTCAAAACCCAAAGATCAGTTTACATTATGATATGAAACAGAAAAAAGGAACAAACCCTTCCAAATTTGAGAAGCTGGAACTAGTATTACTTGATAATTACTTAAACAATCACTTAATGACCTCTATTGTTGGTAATGTGTTGATACGTCTACTAATCGTTTCAGTGAAGTTTTATTTAACATATTTTAGGGAGGAGCTTAGAGGTATCAAAATACTTTCCATGGAGCCAATTTTTTAATCTAATATGGAGTTTTCTGTTGGCAGTAGAAACTCAGTAATTTTGTTCTTGGTGGCTTGACATGCCGACAGTGCCGTCCCACAGAATGGAAAACATCTTTCACTGTCTTCCACATGTGACCCAGTGAACCGAACACATTATACTACAAACAAAGGAACAGGTTTAGTTGCCACAAGAGCAGGCAGGTCAGCTGAGTCAGTTCTTTCATTTTCATTTTCATTTTCATCTACTCAAATGGCTAAAAGCTGGTTTTGTTGGTTTTCTAGCAAATGTAAGAATCAGGAACCGATATAATGTTATCTGTGTTAAGAGTCAGGACTGACAGATCTAGGTTATCAGCACAAATTGTAAAAATATAAAACTCAAAATGAGGAACTGAAAGTGTGTAGGAGCCGTACTGGTGTAATATATTATGAAAATGTCATGTAAAATGTCATTGTATAGTATGCTATAAAAATATGATAAAACTATGTCTTCCAATGTCATGAAAAAAAGTCATAGTAAAGTGTGTCGACATACTATACTATTACTTTTTTAATGCTTTTTGACGACGTACTATACTATGACTTTTTTCATGGTTTTGGACGACACACTATACTATGACTTTTTTCATGGTGTTGGACGACACACTATACTATGACTTTTTGTCATAATTTGGGACGACATACTATACTATGACTTTTTTCATGGTTTTGGACGACACACTATACTATGACTTTTTGTCATGATTTGGGACGACATACTATACTATGACTTTTTTCATGGTTTTGGACGACATACTATACTATGACTTTTTTCATGGTGTTGGACGACACACTATACTATGACTTTTTGTCATGATTTGGGACGACATACTATACTATGACTTTTTTTCGTGATTTGGGATGACATACTGTACTATGACTTTTTTCATGCTTTTTGACGACATACTATACTATGACCTTTTTCATGGTTTTGGACGACACACTATACTATGACTTTTTTCATGATTTGGGACGACATACTATACTATGACTTTTTTTCGTGATTTGGGACGACATACTGTACTATGACTTTTTTCGTGGTTCATACTGTACTATGACTTTTTTTCATGATTTTGGACGACATACTATACTATGACTTTTTGTCATGGTTTGGGACGACATACTGTACTATGACTATTTTCATGGTTTTGGACGACATACTATACTATGACTTTTTTTCATGATTTGGGACGACATACTATACTATGACTTTTTTTCATGATTTTGGTAGACATACTATACTATGACTTTTTGTCATGATTTGGGACGACATACTGTACTATGACTTTTTTCGTGGTTTTGGACGACATACTATATTATGACTTTTTGTCATGATTTGGGACGACATACTGTACTATGACTTTTTTCGTGGTTTTGGACGACATACTATACTATGACTTTTTTTCATGATTTGGGATGACATACTATATACTATGACTTTTTTTCATGATTTGGGACGACATACTATACTATGACTTTTTTCGTGATTTGGGACGACATACTGTACGATGACTTTTTTCGTGGTTTTGGACGACATACTATACTATGACTTTTTGTCATGATTTGGGACGACATACTATACTATGACTTTTTTTCGTGATTTGGGACAACATACTATACTATGACTTTTTTAAAGCTTTTTGACAACATACTATACAATGACTTTTTTCATGGTTTGGGACGACATGCCATAATATGACTTTTTTTCATGTTTTCAGACAACATACAGCGTTTTTTCAGTGCTTTTTGATGGCATACTATACTATGACTTTTTTTTCATGATTTGGGACGACATACTATACCCTACGATACGTCCCAAATCATGAAAAAAAGTCATAGTATAGCATTATGTTCCAAATCATGAAAAAGTATAGTATCTCGTCCCAAACCATGAAAAAAAGTCATAGTATAGTATGTCGTCCCAAATCATGAAAAAAAGTCACAGTATAGTATGTCGTCCCAAACCATGAAAAAAAAGTCATAGTATAGTATGTCGTCCCAAACCATGAAAAAAAGTCATAGTATAGTATGTCGTCCCAAATCATGAAAAAAAAATCATAGTTTAGTATGTCCTCCCAAACCATGAAAAAAAGTCATAGTATAGTATGTCGTCCAAAACCATGAAAAAAAGTCATAGTTTAGTATGTCATCCCAAATCATGAAAAAAGTCATAATATAGTATGTCATCCCAAATCATGAAAAAAAAGTCAGTATAGTATGTCGTCCAAAACCATGAAAAAAAGTCATAGTATAGTATGTCGTCCCAAACCATGAAACAAAGTCAGTATAGTATGTCGTCCAAAACCATGAAAAAAATTCATAGTATAGTATGTCATCCAAAACCATGAAAAAAAGTCATAGTATAGTATGTCGTCCCAAACCATGAAAACATGTCATAGTATAGTATGTCGTCCAAAATCATGAAAAAAAGTCATAGTATAGTATGTCGTCCCAAACCATGAAACAAAGTCAGTATAGTATGTCGTCCAAAACCATGAAAAAAAGTCATAGTATAGTATGTCGTCCCAAACCATGAAAAAAAAAGTCATAGTATAGTATGCCGTCCAAAACCATGAAAAAAAGTCATAGTATAGTGTGTCATCCAAAACCATGAAAAAAGTCATAGTATAGTATGTCGTCCCAAACCATGAAAAAAGTCATAGTATAGTATGTCGTCCCAAACCATGAAAAAAAAATCATAGTTTAGTATGTCCTCCCAAACCATGAAAAAAAGTCATAGTATAGTATGTCGTCCAAAATCATGAAAAAAAGGCATAGTATAGTATGTCGTCCAAAATCATGAAAAAAAGTCATAGTATAGTATGTCGTCCAAAATCATGAAAAAAAGTCATAGTATAGTATGTCGTCCAAAATCATGAAAAAAAGTCATAGTATAGTATGTCGTCCAAAATCATGAAAAAAAGTCATAGTATAGTATGTCGTCCAAAATCATGAAAAAAAGTCATAGTATAGTATGTCGTCCAAAATCATGAAAAAAAGTCATAGTATAGTATGTCGTCCAAAATCATGAAAAAAAGTCATAGTATAGTATGTCGTCCAAAATCATGAAAAAAAGTCATAGTATAGTATGTCGTCCAAAATCATGAAAAAAAGTCATAGTATAGTATGTCGTCCAAAATCATGAAAAAAAGTCATAGTATAGTATGTCGTCCAAAATCATGAAAAAAAGTCATAGTATAGTATGTCGTCCAAAATCATGAAAAAAAGTCATAGTATAGTATGTCGTCCAAAATCATGAAAAAAAGTCATAGTATAGTATGTCGTCCAAAATCATGAAAAAAAGTCATAGTATAGTATGTCGTCCAAAATCATGAAAAAAAGTCATAGTATAGTATGTCGTCCAAAATCATGAAAAAAAGTCATAGTATAGTATGTCGTCCCAAATCATGAAAAAAGTCATAGTATAGTATGTCGTCCCAAATCATGAAAAAAAGTCATAGTATAGTATGTCGTCCCAAATCATGAAAAAAGTCATAGTATAGTATGTCGTCCCAAATCATGAAAAAAAGTCATAGTTCAGTATGTCGTCCAAAACCATGAAAAAAAGTCATAGTATAGTATGTCGTCCCAAATCATGAAAAAAGTCATAGTATAGTATGTCGTCCCAAATCATGAAAAAAGTCATAGTATAGTATGTCGTCCCAAATCATGAAAAAAAGTCATAGTATAGTATGTCGTCCCAAACCATGAAAAAAAGTCATAGTATAGTATGCCGTCCCAAAACCATGAAATTTTTTTTATTAGTATAGTGTTTCACAAAAATGTCATAAAAAATGTCAAAATATAGTATGCCTTAACATCATCATTAAAAAAGTCATGGTATAGTATGTCATAAAATATATCATAACATACTATGCCATAAAAAGTCAGAAAAAGTAATTGTAAAATATTTTTACATGATGTGGGTGAGAGAAAATAGCAGCTGACAGTTTTGGATGAAGGGATGTGCAAAAGAACCTCGTGGAGAGAGAAGTACATTTTTAATCAGTGTTCATTTCTCCGCAGCTCGCTCACTCAACCTGTTTGCTCTCATCCCGATGCCCACCATCAGATCTCTGTTGTCACAGCAGGTTCCAGCATCCTTATGTGGTGAGTATACGACCTCTGTGTGTGTGTGTGTGTGTGTGTGTGTGTGTGTGTGTGTGTGTGTGTGTGTGTGTGCGCGCGCGTAGGTTTGTAAAAGCACCACAGATGAGTTACAATGACAGTAGGGATAATTGTACAGTCAACACAATTAAATACACAGCAGTATTATGCAAACACATGCTAGTGATGGTTTCAGCATATTAATTTGACCCCCTCCCCAAATCAGTTGTAGTTGAAACAAAATACAGTCGTATTATTATAATACTAATGGTGTCAAACATCATGGAGAAGTACAGGATCAGTGTGTCACAATGAGAACAGGAGGAAGTGCTGAAAGAAGGATGACAACATGGCATTTCCTGAAAGCTGAGTTAGCAGTTTAAAGTTCAGTGAGAGGTCAGAAAATAAAATCCCATTGATCCTCTCTGACTTGAGGCCCCCATTCAAGCTTCATTCTTGAATCTCCAAGGGAATAAACGAGGCACCTGTGAAGCAGTCTTTTATTGTGAACAAGATACACTCTTTAGTGTGTGTGTCTGTGTGTGTGCGGAGTTTGGCAACCTTTCGACAGGTTTGCACACATGGAGGAGTGGTGCATACCGGAAACCTGCAGTCAGGCTGCTTTATGTCAAAAAGATGATGCATCATAAAGAGCCTGTTCTGCCGCTGTCATGCTTCCTTTTTTTGAAACACACACACACACACACACACACGCACACAACATATTGTCTTGCTATACTTGTGAAGACACTCATTGACATAATGCATTCCCTAAACCAAACACTAACCTGAACCTCATTAAAATTAACAACATCAGCCACCAAGTTTACATGTTTCCCTAGCATTAGCATGTAGCTACATGTATCAGTGTAGGCTACATAATGTAAACACTTGCAGTAGCATGCCTGGGCAGATGACCATATAAAGAAATCTGTCATAAGGTGACATCATATTGCAGTCGAAACACACACACACACACACACACAGACTGTGTTTATTGATGGTTGGAGAAGCAGGGTTATTCATTGTCAGAGTTTCCCCTCCTGTGTTTGCTTTGACATGGCGTCTGTTTGAGAAGTCAGTGCAGTGCAAACACACACATAATCGCAAGCTCAACCCTATTTCTGTCTGCACACATACAAGGAAATCAAAAAATATATGAGAGCCAGACCACTTGTTTCCCCTTTTTTTAGTCTCTATGCTAAGCTCAGCAAGCTTTATATTTACAGCACAGATACAAGAGCAGCATCAATTTCTTATGTTACTCTTGGTGTATTAGTATCTAAGTTTATTTCCCAAAAATGCAGAAATACTCCTTACACCTTAACCTATTTGACCTCCTTCCCATCAGGCACCACTCTCACCTCCCTGCAGTTGGCGCTGAAGTTTGCCGGTCTGGCCTACATTCCTGCCTTTACTAAGATTTATCAGGCAACCCTGAACTGGTTCCCTGGCTTCGTCTTCACGCTCGCCAGCATCATAACTGTACTGGCGATGATACCCGTCAGGTAGGATGTTGTTGGGAGTATTAACATCTATTCTTATGGCTCAGTAGTTGTCTAGGGCTAGTTTATGGGAGCAGTAAGAGACATAAGTATTCAAAATCTACCAGCCACTGAAGAATTAATATTGAAATTTAAACACCACTGAATTTAAATTTATGTATAATTTAATTTTGTATATCTAAATTCACCTCTTGGAAATTAATATATGAAATTTTGTGGTTTGCACTTTCATAGACTGAATTTTATTTTTATTTTTTTTTAATGTTCACAAGTTCAGATCCCAAAATTCAAGTTTCAGTATTAAAAAAAAAAGGTTGCTCAATTTTGAATCACATCCAAAAATTCAAATCGAATAAATTTCAAATTACAAATGAAAATTTTCAACTTTAATTTTTTTTATCCGAAATTGACCGGAATCGAAATTGAGCAACCTGAATCAATTTGTTGAAATTCTGAAACTTGAATTTTTGGATCTAAATATACAAACATGTAAAAAAAAATCAGCTTTTGAAACTGCAAATTTCAAATTTTGTCTCCATTTTTTCAATTCTAATTTTTTATTTAATATTTCTATTTTGAAAAAAGGCAAATGCAGAACAAAGAAATTCAGAAACATGGTTTTAAAGTAAAACAAAAAATGTTTAAATTTAAAGTCTTCAGTGGCTGTTACAATTAAAAAAACAGAAGTGTATATGTTCTTTTTGTCTGAACATTTCTTAAAAATGTATGAAAATTAGGTTTAAAAAAGCAGAATCAGAGTGAATATCAACATTTCAGACCATTTACAAAGTAAACACATAGTAGTACAAATACATTTCATCTTCTCAAGAATATTTCCTCTCTCCTTCCTCCAGTGTCATCGGCTGCAGATCACTTCGGTGGCGACAGTACGTGAGGATTCAGGGAGACTGATGGCACCAAACTGACCGTCAGCAGTGTGTCAGCATTGGTATGAGGCAGAGGGGAACTGAGACTTGAAATGGGCAAAAGGAGAACGGTGCCTTTAATCTCACTTCCTATATTGTTATAACTGCAGACACTGCAGGAGAGGAGTTCCTACAGGCTGTGGCTGTAACAGGAGGAACAGACGGCAGGTTTAAGGCTTACGCAGACTTGTATATGCACAGGTAGAATTAAATAAAAACACAATTGGCAAAAAAAATGTACATAATGAAAACAACTTTTGACACAGATACAGGCAATCATCAACCAGCAGAATTCATTGGCCAGTGGAATTTGTTGAAGTTAAACTCAAGAACAACCCAGTGTGATTTCAACATAGTGTAGATGTGTGACTGATGTGTCAGACATGAAAAGTCCCCCTGTAAGCACCTTTTAAAGGAGGAGAATGAACTAAAAATGACTGACTCGCACATTTGAACAAGTTTCCTGTCCGGATATAAATGAGGATTTTACAATGTTCACATTTTGTATCGGAATTATAAACTGACTTTGGCTTTATTACTTCTCAGTCCTCCACAGACTCTGTTCCTGAACTGTAGATTGATTCACTGGCTGGTTTACAGACCTAATGACCATGATGAATGACTAAACATTCAGCCGAACACCAAAGACACAAATATGGAGTAATTTAATGTTGTCATATACCAACTGTTGTCCTCCAAAATAGCAATACGTGTATATAAATAGATTAATATGAAAATAGATGCACTAAATATTTTTTTGGAGTGCAGAAAGAGTTATATGCTGACGTGTAATCCTGCAGGCCAGGAAAGGCTGACAGAGACTAGTTTAAAAATTTACTTTTTGTATGACATTAGTGGGGTATTTTTAATATTTTGAATTTCTTTTATTTCAGTCTTTTTTATCCATACATATTTAAACACTTGTGCATTTAATCATGTTTTCTGTTCACTTGTCTTTGTTGCTTATAACAATTATGTCAGTTAATTCTGAATTTGGTTAAAAAGCACTTTAAACAGCATTTACTGATTTGAAAGGTACTGTATATGGTTTGATTTCATTTCACTGACCACAACATTGCCTTTGCACAAAAAAAAAAAAAATTAAAAATGTTTTTGTGTAACTGCACTGAGATGCGTTTTTATAAATACAGTAATTATGCATTTCAGACTATAGGACTACAAGTGCAAGTGACTTTAAGGTACTTACAGTCGATATGAAGGGAAGAAAAAACAGCCTTGTACTATTATGCATTATATTTGTGATGCATTTCTTTATAATTGCACTTTTAATTACAATGCTTTAAAGAGCACACACACAAAAGGGTTGCTGTCAATGACTGTCAGTAGTTGTTCCACCCTGAGGTATAGTTTTTGTTGGTGTAAGGGTTAGGACAAAATGTAAAATATTTGCAGTAATGAATCATAAATCTGCAAGTTTTGTAAAGCCTATTTTTTGTATAAATGTATTTTTTGACTAAACATTCCTGGGGTATGTTTTGGGGGTTTTTTTTGGTTTAGTTTTGTATATGAGACTAACTGAATGCAGTATTGTGAAATTCACTTTAATTCTGCCAATAAAAACATTTTAAACATATAAAATGCTTTTAAGACTCATATCTAAACCAATCCATGTCTTTGATAGGTATTTGTAAGATCATTATTACTATTAGGGCTGGGTATCGGCACTGATTTCCTGACACGATTTGATTTCTATTCGCAAGGTCGACTAGGGACATTTCAGTTATAATTTTTGCTAGTATGTGAAAGAGAGAACTAACGCTGTAAGTTTTACAAGCAATTTTTTTTTTTTTTTTTAAAGCATAAATTCACAACTGGAATAAAACTACATATTTTATGACTTAATTTCTCTAGAGCAGCATCAGTAATATTAAAACAGCAAAGTCATAATATAAACTTAATATCTTACTTTAAAACAAATCTAAAATGTCAATACAATAAATCATATTGCTGACATCACAATACAGAGTAGAAAGAATAAAGAACACAGACATTAGTCAGTATCAGGGCTCCTGTCCTCTCTGCTCCTCCCTCTGCTGCTGAGCAGAGTCACATTACCACCGGAAAGTTTTAAGATACAGAGCTGGTAACGTCGGAGCTTATCAATACTACGGTCGTTAATAACTTGGCACCACAGCCCATTAACTACAGGTTAAAGCTTCACACGTCCAAAAAAAAAAAAAAAAAAGCATATACTAAAAGAGTGATCTCAGATTTTATGAATTGATATCCAGTCATTCAAATGACAATGTATTTGAATCGGATGAATTGATTATTTTAACCCAGCCCTAATTACTATATACCGTTTTTATCGAACAACGACTTGGTTTTTGTGCACTTCATTTCTACTAGTGAAAACTGATGAAGAAAAAGAAATCAGCCCTGAGCACACAAGTATCAAAGGCATTCTTTCTTTTTATTATTGGTCCAATATATCCAAAAAAATCATTTGAGGTAAAGATAAATTGCATCAAAACGACATCAATATACAAGCTTATCTATAATTACAACAAGATGTTATTCACATCCAAATTTACAATGAGGACTGAACGTAAACAGTACACACTGGGAAGGAGCAAAAATAGACAGAAGCTGGAGTCACACATTCGTAAGTCGTCTGACTTTTAACCTTTCGTGCAGGTTTGATTGATCTGGTTTATCCTGCACTGGGAATCAGATTTTTCTCTTCATGTGTGAATCAAAGACGGGAGGAAAAGATGGGGACATTTGGCTTAGAAACATTTGATTTGTACATTAAAGAAAAACAAAAACTGTCTCCCCTTCCTCTCCCTTCTTTACAGGGACAGCCGTCATCATCCCTGTTTGGGGATTTAACCTGAATCAGCTTTGCAGACGATGCCTTCCTTTACATTAGAGAACCATGGCCTATTAATTGGCATTTTTGGCAACTGAAAGAAAGCTAATTAATTCTTTGTTTGATTTGTTTTCAGCAGACGTATCTGCCAGGGGTCTGAGCTACATATATAGTGCAAACATAAATCAGCAGGCACACAGTATAAGATGCAGATTTTACAATGGCTATTAAGAGAATAAGAAGTTAAACTGTCATGTTTTTGGTTATGCAAGATGTACAAATCAAGAACCCCTTCTAATATGTAATCTCCACATACTCATTTGAAACCCAACAATAATCACCTGTTTCTTCTATACAAAAATAGACTCAGCTGTACCTTATAATTCAGCTGCACATCGGGGTATATTGGATATACAGTATATTGTCATTAAAGCAAAGAGACATTTCAAATCAAGTCTGAATGATCCCAAAAGCTGTTCATGCTCAAGTCAGGTTACTTCAGTGAGTTACTTCATCTACACCAGAAAAGCGCTCAGCAGGAAACAAACACGCCGATCTGATCCAGTAAATAAAACAGAACTAAAAGGAAAGAGTGATCAGAGTTGGTTTTTATGGCCTATCAGAGCATGTCTGCTACATCTCCTATTCAGTAACTCTTTATCAAGTAAATATATTAAATTTATTTAGAGTACAGTGAACAGTAGCTACTGTTGGAAAAACGGTGGAAATAAAGATAGATGCTACTTCCACAGTGCCAATATGTAAACAGATTTTGAAATGTAAAACCTTACAGTCTGATTTTAAAAAAAAAATCTGATTAAAAAAGTGCCTATTGGAGTTTGCTTGTACCAAACGTGACTTTTAGGCTTGGACGGTATCCATATTTTCATACCCTCTTAAAATTCAACCAGAGTTTACATTATATGACAACATTTGTGTGCAGCGCTCTCTATCTGCACCTCCACCCCTGACCAGCAAGTTTGCTACGTCCCCCACGCTCTCTTAGCTTTTCCCACTTAAACCGAGAAATACAACCGTACACCTTATGAATTTAAGTTTCTCTCATTCACTGGACTAGAACTACCTTAACTGCCTTTTTAACTTAACAGAAAACACTTCATTCATACTCAACACAAACAAATATATATTATGTTAAAACGTCATTAGTCTTCTTAGTCGTCTAGTTATCTAGCCCACTTCTCTAGCAATCACCAGCACTGGTTTGGTCAAAATAATAGTAACCCTGAATTACTGTTTACAGCCCTGTAATGTAATCCCTAGATGCTATGTCTGTCAGCTCAGCTACCTGTTCCACCAGTAGAGACTGACCTCTGGTGGTGCATGATGTGTACTATGTACAATTGATCCTAAAAAAAATAAAATAAAATAAAAAAAAAATAAAAAAGCATTTTTTGAGGATGGTAAACTCGGATTGATAAGTTTGGATCGGTAAATTCAGAATCGGCTCGGTAAATTTGGAAATAGTCCCTGAATTTATCAGGTTAAATGTAAAAATATGCAAGCTTTTTTGCATCCTCTCTCTGTTGCTGCTAGCCAACCGTTCACAGTCCTGTAACATTATCCCTAGTCATTATGTCTGTTAGCTCGGCGGCCTGTTCCACGAGCAGAGACTGATCTCTGGTGGCGCATTATGTGCACTACATACAATCAATCCTCAAAAAAAAATTTTCGTACGAGTACAAAGAGCGTCTGTATTTTGAACCGTATTGAAAATCATACCGCCAGGATTTCTAAATTATATACCATAGTACCATTATACCTCTCAAGCCTAGTGTGTTTCAGCACAACACAAAAACACTGCTCCATAGTGCAGCTACTGGTCAAAGACTCTACAGGTGTATTTTTTTTTTAACCCCACAAAAAAAATTAAGAAATGTACTTGCGAAAAACAGAAAGTGCATTACCTTTCCTGAATTCCTGCTGTTGCTAAATGAACAACATTGACTCAATCTGTGAGGTCCGGATAAACCATTTCTAAAATTTTTTTAATGTTGCTGCATGTTCATGTAGGTTATGGCAATTAACATAAAAATGATAGAACTCAGAAAATAAGAAAAAACTTAAAATTACAGTGGAACTACTAATTTAAAGCAGTATTTGGGGATAAAAATGGAGGTCCTCTACAGGTTGTGTGTGAGCAACAGATGATACAGGAGCTTTGTTTTAATTTCTAAACACCCCTGGTTCTTCATAGTGAATTCTAATATTTCGAAATAGATACAATATGGCTGGACGATATATTCATACTCTATGGATAGATATCTTAGATTCTGGATATGGTAAAATCATAAGGTTTGTCTTTTCCTAGTTTTAAAGGCTGCATTACAGTAATGTCATTTTCTGAACTTACCAGACTGTTGATTATTAATCAAAATCTCTTGTATCGATATTTTGTGAAAGCACCAGTAGTCAACCCTACAATATCATATTATTATAGTGCACAGCCCCTAAGATACAGATAATTTAGCATCAGTGCATCTGTAGTTCTGTCCCATGTGGCTGCCTCGACACTGACTGACCACAGTGACTCAGAAAGCTTCTCTCCATCTTACTAGCTGCATTCAACATGCCTAAATAAAAACTGTCATATGTCACCTCGCTGACTTCTGGTCGTTAGAACAGTAGCTGCTTCGTGCTTTAAAAACTCAAAGGGGAAATATGACGGACGGAAAAAAACTGACAAGAGTACTTAAACCAGTTTGCAAGCAGCCACAGTTACTTCATCTCGTCGCTCTCTTATCGCACTTGCATTTGGCTACACTGATAGCAGGCTCAGTAATGTGACATCAGCCTATATAACAGGACAAAGACCATTCAAAGACAATCTGACTACAGGGCATTTAAAAGAAATAAAAACACAGAGCCTCTCAGAACCTTTTTGTTACGTTGAAATGAAACATAATTATTTCAGCTTTCTGAAATAAATAAAATTACGCAAAACAAACTCTTTATCAAACAAAAATAATGATTACATTTATTGAAGAAATAAAGTTATGGCCTGTTCATGAGGCTACAACACAGCAGGATCTGTGCCACAAATGAGCAAGAGATAAAATCAGTGTCTTTGTAAAAAATATTTTGGGATGATATCACTGACCCAAGTCATCACTGGTGGGTTTTTTTGCTACTTTATGCTGAGTGTAATGAGCTAGCAGTGCGGCTAAGGTCGGATAAAACTAAGGATATTCAAATGAGCCGGCACAGCGTTACAAACTCAGCAGGCTGCATCTCTGCTCTGTGGTCAAAAAGTCAGAAATGGCTCACTAAAGCTGGTTCAACATAAGGTTACGCATTGACGTCTAACAGAGTCTCTCAGGGTGGATTCTTCCTTTCAGGCAACGCCACATCAGCAACATGTCGAGGCCAAAACAAGTGTGACGCAAAACTGCTGTTGGTCGTATATGCTGCTGTGCTACTGCATCTGAAATGGGGGAACAAATGTTTCCCGTGAGTCACAGCTGAGCAGAGGAGGTCACATTGTCACACTGATCAGTCAGAGGGGTTAAGAGAAGTAAACGGCAAATGATTTCCACATTACTGGGTCATTAAAACAAACCATAGCTTTTAAATTAAAGCATGTACAGTACATGCTTTAATTTAAAAGCTATAGTTTTTAAATTGCAAAAACTCCATTCCGAGCGAGACACCGTGTCTCACTCAGAATGGAGTTTTTGCAATTTCTAGCTCTGACCTACACAATACTCCTTTGAGCGCTGGTTTAACCAATTCCTCAGATGCTTATATGACACAGCCGAGATTTCCCAGAAGCCTCAGTGCTCTGTTTTCCTCTGTAGGCCTGCAGCATTGACATGTGTAAAAGCTTCACGAACTCCAACTTGAACAGATGCGTACCTGACAGCTCCTAACTCAACCCCTTTCTAAATATTTTGGATCATATCCAGCCTTTGAGCGCCACTGTTCTCAAAAAGCAACACAGATTTTGTTAATGGGGTGCAATAATGCCACAATGCAGTGTTTGTTTCTTTCGGATTACTACAAGAAAATAACATTTGACTCTACACCCGATTGTTTTCATTCGTTTTAAGATAATAAATTACACCTTCAATTCCCTCTGTGTGCTTTTCACTGGGTAAATCTGCCTCTTGCACCATTTGGCATCCTCAAACTGAGTTAGAGCTTTTGCTTGAAGAATAGAGGTGACATCCCTTCAGCAGGTATAAATGGACAAGGTACAAAAAACAACTTGATATCAAGAGGAACCAGCAGAAGTAGCACACGCTGAAGCCACCAGGTGGTGCTGCTAGACTGCACTGGAAACACAATCGTATGACCAACTCTTGTGTATCTCTGCTTAAAAAACAAAATGACCTCCAACAAAATCACTTCCCTGATGAAGCTTAACATTACTCAACATGTCTATTGAGCTGTCTATTGAGCTGTAAAGACGTGGATCATAAAAACATCCTAAAGTTTCCCTTTGACGAACAATCGGTGGCTTTTAATAATGTCTCGTTTTGACATCTGTTGCTACACCTCCTGCATTTTCTCTGCCTGTGCGTAACTTCTGGTTGAACCCAAGGCTGTGCTGATGCCAAGCTCTGATGCCACGGCTTTTTTCAAGCTGATTTTAATATATTAATGATAATAATGGCTGAAGGGAAAATAGGAACGCTGTAAAGTGTATGAACTTCTGGAAAATGGTTAGCAGTAATGGCAAGATTATGGACATAAACATGCAAAAATAACAGGTATGGTCCTTTAAATTAATTTTAAGACGTTGGATTCCAATTTACGAGTCTTGTTTCAGTGTTACATTTTCGGAGGCTTTTGCAACCTGACAGAAAATAAAAATATGTCGGGCATGCTCTGAATACTTCATGCAAATTATAATGATCGTATCCCTTTCCTGCAATGCTGAGGAGGTATCCTTCACGTCTGGCTCGATGCGAACACGGAGAGAACAGACAGAAAACACGCCTCTCGGAGACCGCGGTTAAATAAACACAAGCAGCATTGGCAACCAACTGTTAATTGGAAATATGAAGTAGAAAAAGTCAATAGGAACAACGACAAACAAATAACAAAAAAAACAAAAGGAAAATGTCTGTACATAGTAGGTCTCTCCTCTTTCCCAGCTGTCCTTGAATGTACCATTTGTTACCTCCTTCACAGGTCAAATCTCCGAGAGAGACAACTCCTCTCCATCTCACAGGAGAACGGGGGGGCAAAGTCCAGCAGTTCACATCTGCCGCCCAGTTGGTCCTTTTCCTTGGCATGAGAGAGTGTGTTATACTGAGAGGGAGAGAGATACGGGGCAGAGACATGAGGAGGTGTTTCAGTTCGTCTCACTCGTTTTGTCCTCAGTCTGTTTGTCCTGGAGAAGAGTAATGAGTGACTCCCACGCCGCCTGGCACTGCAGAGGGGTGGAGATGGATGAAGTCAGTCAGCGGAGGGGGAGAAGGAGGTGGAAGGGAAAGAAGCAGAGACAAAGGGAGAGCAGTGTTACATGATTATTATTATACAAGATATTTAAGTACTGGCAGCTTCAAGGTCACTAGTAAAACGTCCTTTGCTCCTCCCTTAAGTAATGAATTTACCTTATTTGTTGTTGTATTGGACAACTTTAAAATGTGAATGTCTGTGACTGTCAGTGATAACAGGGTGTTTCTGCTAAAGAGCCCTCGTGTTCAGTGAATCTACCCCAGATAAATAAAGGTCAACAACTGACAGCTTATTTCAGCTCAGCTCTAATGGATCTGGCCCCAAAAGCTCAGCTTGCTACACAAACTAGATTATTCAACAGTACTGACGTATTACTATGGCTTCACTGTGGACCTGTTATCTGAAATATGGTTGACGCATGGAAATTCTGACCAATCAAGAGCAGCTTTCTCTTGCAGGCATTTTATCTGGTCTGCAAGACAACTCTAGGTCTGAAAGCACCCTTAAATATAATGATTATAAAGACCTTTTCGAGATAAATTTTGACCCAATTTAAACATTTTGGACAAATCTTTTTCTCATTCAAGCACCGCAGGTAAGTATAAAGGTTACTGGTCCCGTACAGAGGCAGATTTTTATGTAGAAACACATTTGGCAACAAGTTAAGTGTGAGTATAAAGTAGAGACAGAATTGCTATTAGTGTTGCACGGTATACTGTTACCAACGGTAGACCGCAGTACTAAAACTCCACGGTACATATGATACCATCATGTTGGAGTACCGTAGTACTATGGTACCTCACAGTATCACTACTGTGGGATAAGTTCAAAGTCCAATCGCAAGAGGGTGAGTGTGCACGCCGAACAATAACAGCGCGCTGGCCACCTTGCACTCAATATGCTGCTGCAGTGGTTTGTTTTCCAGTGATATTTCAGGTATTAGCTGAGCTATTGAGTATCTTTAAGCAGTGAAAGTTATTATTTATTTCTTTTTACTTGTAGGCTAGATTTGTTTATATATGCTACAGTGATTTGTTTTCAACAGAGCTCTACGGTGCGAGCATTTTTACTGCATTTGCAACTAAAAATAGTTTTGTGCGAGCAAAAGAAATCATTCAGGAGCACGCTGTGCGAGTACAGATTTCAACCAGCAGCAGAAACGAAAGGCGAATCCTGCCGGTTGTGGATTGAACGGGGGTCACAAACAGGAATACGGCGGAGCACTATGGCCACCGCAAGATAACGCGGTTTACCGGCAACCGAGAAGCCCAGCTTCAGGTCCAATAATTTCCTCTTTTGTCGGTGTCATGACTGCCCAGAAATATCTGAACAGCCGAGCCGTGGTGGCACACAGCTATGTGACGTGTCAGAGGAGAAACGAGCTGTTCACATTTCTCTCCTTGTGGCAGGTAACGGCCCACAAACCTCACCGCACTGAAGGGACTGTTCTTTACTTATGAAGGGACTGTTCTTTACTTGTCAGGGGAGGAGGGTGGCTGGTTGATTATTTATTTATTTATTTTATTTTGATCCCCCCTATGTTAATCACTTATTGATGCTGTTAAGTAATTTATTCCATTGAAATATCATTGATGTATTATAGAAAAATTATTTATCTTTTTATAAATGACAAAAGGCACATCTGCCTCATTCTTGCCGTGGTTTCATGATACTACTCAGAACCGTGATACTTTCACTGGTATCGTACCGTGGGTCCCAATTTTGGTACTGTGACAACACTACTTGTTATTAACTAGAATGGTATAAAAACATTGTGTCAATGCCTGACTTAAGGACATATGTGCATATAAAACAGATGTTTGGCCCTGAACCATATGACACATCGAGTTTATCTAGAAGCCAAAGACTTCACAGACTTTACTGGACATGACATTACCCTAAGTGTGTGAGTGTGGGAAGATGTTGAGGGCTCCAGGCAGCGTCTGAGGAATGGGACTCTACTTTTAAAAATCAGTTTAGCTGGACAGAGACGTTTCTGTGCACAGTTAAAACTCACTACATCCACAAAGTATTATATGAGACAGATAGTCTTTGAAAAAAAATATGTCCCTCCTCCTCCTCCTATTGCCTCTAATAGTATTTACTACGATCTACCACGGCTCACAGAAAACAACCAATTAGAGCCTCTGGCACACCTGTCAAACATGTCAGTCACTGCTCATAAACTGAGGTCAAACTGGGCTGCGCTGATCAAATATGAATCAAGATACTGTTACTACATTGCCTGTTTCTCACCTCAAATGTTTTTAGAAACACATTTTAGTGTACAGTTTAGCTGTAAAATGAGAACGTTTGTGACCCAGTCGCCATGCTTAAAACAGCTGATGCAAAAACTCAGCTGTGTGATGACAACTTAAGGAAAATGTCATCTTGCTAATGTTTTGATCAATGAAACAAGCCGACTCGATCTTCTCACAGAGATCTAAATTCCACGCTACTGCAGTGTCTTAAAGTCAAAACACAGAGCTTTACAGCAGCCTACGCACCTTTTCATAGTGGTTGATGTTTTTGTCGGCCATGCCGGTAAGAAGCTGTTTGAAGTCTTGTCTCTTGTTGCTCTGCCAGCGCTCCCAGTCTGCCTTCAGATCGGCGTTGAAACACTCCACTTTGTCCTGGCATTTCTCCACCTCTGCCGGCATCTAAGGCAAGAGAGAGGAAACTACAGCTACAGTGGCCTTCAGGGGACATAATGCAAGACTTCAGGTTACAGGGCTACAGCCAGAGGGGGTGTGGGCGGTGCAGGAGTTTTGGAGAGAAGGGCTTTATTAGAGAAATATCAGAGAGTGAGAAAAGACTTTTATTTTTCCCTCTAAAATTCTGAGATTCTTTCTTTGTGGTGTTAGTATAGCATATGAACAAAATATATTCCTATCAGCACTGAAGGCGTTTATTTTAAGAGACTGTTCACAGTATTTTTCCACTTATTCTGAAAAAGATTAACCTCTGTTGTTCTGTAAGATCATTCTTAAAATCATTACAGAAAGCAAAACTGAACTTCAGGAAAACAGACACTCCTGGAACTGGCAACAGTGAACACAGCAACTTTTAAGGCCTCAGTGTGTGAAAGAAGCCTCAGACTCAGATGAGAGGAAGGAGGAGGCTTACTGGCGTCCTACTGTCCTCCTGTTTGCGCAATATGGCTGCTTCTAGTCGGCCCTCGTACTCCGCCTGGCTCTGGTCTCGCTTCCTCAAAACATTCTGTAATCAACCAGAAAACATCAGTTGTTTTATTTTGCAATTTTGTGTGACGTTTACTGATACTGAAATGTTTCTAAAGAGAGACAAAGTTAAACAGAAAGAGAGATGCTGATTCAGGAGCTCTGTGAGTGCAGGATGTGACACACGCAGATTTTCAGATGCTACTTCCTCGATTCAGGGTCAAAGGTGGCTCAGTCTGCAGCTGTGTCCAAAATCCACAATGCACACTAACTCTAATCAGATTTTTAGTATGTAGTAAGTTCACACTGCAGAGTGAAGAATACTCAAACTATAAGAGTGTACAAAATTAATCTGGACTACTTGTGTGTGCTGTTGATGCCCACTATTCTCCTGCAATGTGATGCACAAAGGAAACAAATTGTTGGTGAAACAGCTCATAAATACCTTGGAAACAAACAACAAAAAAACAGGTTTAAATCATAAGGAAAAACATTTTGATGCTTATTTGTCTGTGACAGTTTGATCGACGCCCAGTGTCATGTATCATTTCCTGTTAGTATAAAATGGTGAGGTATGCTGGGGGCTTTTTTTGTACAACCCCGTCTCCAAAAAAGACACTATGTAAAATGTAAATATATTTATAGTATAGTAATATAACTGAAAAAACAATCCCTATATAGACAAGATATTTAATGTTCAAACTGATAAACATTATAGTTTTTGTAAATATACACTTATTTTGATGCCTGCAACACGTTCCAAAAGAGGGAAGCGGCATGTCAGCCACTGTGTTACATCACCTTTTCTTTCAATAACACTCAATCATTGTTGGGAACTGGGGACACTGATTGTTGAAGTTTTGAAAATGCAACTCTTTCCCATCCCATCACTGATCCAACTTTTTTGAAACATTTTTCTGGCATGAAATTTAGAATAAGCATATATTTACCAAAATAAGGGAAACTGATGAGGTAGAACATTAATTATCTTGTCTTTGTATTGTTTTCAATTGAATACATGTCAGAAAAAAAGGATCAGAAAATGATCACATTGTGTTTTATTTACACTCTAGACAGTGTCCCAACTTTTATAGAAAACAGTATTCTTTGATGATTAGTATGCAGTGCAAACTGAATAGAATTAGTATATGGTATGGACCTGGGACACAGTGCGTGTGTGTGTTTGTGTTTGGCATTGATTAAGCATTTACTCTGATTTTTTTATTACTATAAATCAAAAAATAATTTTCTCTTTATTTTTCATGATGGAAGTCTGTGAGGGGATTTTTTGTTGCAGTACTGCAGCCAGCCACTAGGCCCACAAGGCTGACTTGCTATTCTGTAGCCAGCTCTCTCCCAACAACAAACCAAGGTGTCTAAAGGTATCAGACCCTTAAATTTAATGCTTTTTAAGACCTTTTCAACATAATTTTTTAACCGAATATAAAACTGATTTTTGGACGATACATATTTTTGAAATATTAAAGCATTAGGTAAGCAGAAAAGGTAAGATCTATGTATGTGGCCATATCCAGAAGAAGATTTTATGTGGGAATATGGATCAATGGATCTACAGAATGAGTTAGGTAATCTACATTTTATCGACAGGTAAGTGCAAGTATAGAGTTAAAAGACAGTATCAGGTTCAATGGTAGGTTTAAAGATTTGTAACATTATAAATGTGGACTTTTATGCAGATGAGCTTTAATCATTTTGACAAACAATTAACAGATGGATAAATATAATTAGATTAAATGTTTGTGGCAATTAAGAGCTCACAAATTCAAATTTATAACTATTCAATTGCTATTAAAGGGATAGTGCACCCAAAAATGAAGGGGGGCTTAGGTGAAGTTTTAGAGTCCTCACAACACTTGTGGAGATCCGAAGGGGGAGTGGGTAGCAGCACAACTGCACACCTAATGGCTGATGGCGCCCCAGATTAAAACGCCCAAAAAACTACATAATTGAAATCACAAAATATCTCCATACTGCTCGTCCGTAGTGATCCAAGTGTCCTGAAGCCCTGACATAAACAAAAAGGTATAAACCTTCACCAGAGCCTCCCTCGGCATGAGGGTGAGTAGTTAATGACTGAATTTTCATTTTTGGGTGCACTATCCTTTTAAGGCCCATGATTTATAAAATTAAATTTAAGACTTTTTAGGACCTGCAAACAAACAAAAAACGTCCTGTACGACGTCCCTCGTCCCTCTCACCTTCATGGACTCTATGTAGAGGACATACTCTCTGAGTACGGGCAGGAAGTCCTGGGTCATGTTCTCACTCAGGTCATCCAGCGCTGAGCAGCACGTCGTCACGCAGCCAGCCACGCCCTCCAGGGGGCGCCGCAGCTCATCCTCCGACCCCACCCAGCTGGAGTACACTGTGCCATACTCACGCAGCTCTGTCAGGTACTCTAATGGGGGTGAAAGGAAAACAAAGAGGTGATTAAACAGACAAACAAGACACTTTCTTTTTTCCTTTTTCAGTTCAATGTCTGCTGAATTTTCATACTCCTTGGATTCTCTGTTTCTAGATTTAAAGTTTGAGCAGCTAATATTCTGTAACAACATCAAAGCAGAAGTTTTTTTTCTTTCCTCACAGGCGATACGGAGAGATCGATGAGTTTAATTGCAAAATCTATATTTGTAAATTACACATGGGTGGGTGATGGCTAAACGCTGAGTCAAGCATGCGAGGCATTTTCTTTTCCACACACTCTGTCAGCTCGTAGGCCTTTATTATCTACAGCTCCCTGAGCTTCCATCTTATCTCCTCCAATATGGAAACAAGGACCTTTGGTTTACGCTGCAGACTCTCAGGCCACACACTGCAACACATCCAAAGCCCGAACAGATGGTGACAAGGAGCATTTCACACGGCAGATGTCAGGTATTTACAGGATCACTTGTCATGCATGAGTTAGGCCCTCACTTATCAACCGTGCACCCTCAAGGCCACAGGCTGTGGGTTTTTCTCCAACCAAACACTAACGCCAGTGAATCAATACTGCACACAAGCTAGTGTTAGCCACCCGGCTGACGACTGAACACTGCATGACATAAACTAACCACAACCACAATGTAGCACATATGAAAAAGCTGGCAGGAAGTAGTCCACTAAGAGAAGAAACAGAATATAGAGGGTACTATTTGAGGGCATGTTGCAAGCAGCACACACAACTGTTTCAAAATGTTGCTTCCTGGTGCCTCAAATACACATTTGGAAGAAGAAATTATGAAGAAGTGGCTTTTGCTCTCTCGCTACTGGAAGTGCCTGTTACATCCCAGGGCTTATGTGTACCAGCATAATGCTCTGTGTCAATAACAGAGTCAGTAAGTAGAAGAGGATGAAAGGGAGACACCTGTGCAGTTAAAATCATTTCAGAACTCAGCTTTTTATTTCTCTTTTTCACACTGAATATAATTTCAATTTATCCAGTTACTGATTGCTTTATGTTGCTCATTTATATACCCTTTAAGTATGATTTTAATGGAATAATTTCTCATTTGTTAAAGGCATACTATACAGGACATGTTGGTTACTGTCTGTAAACAACTCCAGTCAAAGTGAAAGCCAACCCCAGTTTCATTTTAGTGCACTATGTTTGCAGGGTTTTTTGGGGGGTTTTCTGACGCTTACTGCCTTGCACCTGGTCACTACCTTTAAAGAGTCCCGACCTCACCTGCACACTGTGCCCACCATCATCCCGAATACAGCAATTTACAAAGACAAAAGGCATATACAGGCAGAGGTCTATGCAGATATATATACCTCCACACTTGTAGTCGATCATAAGTGATTACTTTTGTATGAGTCTATACGGAAAGCCCTCTCTTTATTGTCAAATTATAATGAATCAATAAACTGGTTTATAACCATCTGCAAGCCTGCTGGGTTCTCTATAACATGTAAAGGATGACTTAGTATTGGACCTTTAGCCCCATTTCCACCAAAAACTTTCAGTATGGTACCTTTGGAACCAAAAGTAACCCTTCAGATATGGTACCTAGACCCTAGGGTTTCCACCACAAACAGTACTCTGAAATGTGGGCCAGGTTGTTGTCACTCACTGCTCTGTCAAGCATCCGCTGTGTTTCCTGGCTCTTCACCGGTGACACAGATAAAAAAAAAATGGAGACAGTACAGAACAGTTTCATTGGTACATCCACAACTTTTCACAGTGGAAACAGATAAGAAAAACGTACCGAACTGAGCTGCAACTGTACTTATCGGTGGAAACGGGGCTTTTGTTGCATGTTATACCCCTCTATCTCTGTCTATGCCCATGTTTCCCATTGGTCCCTATGCTAACAAGTGTCCAATAAAGGCAAAAATGCCAAACAATGCCAACCAGCCGATACAGGTCATTTCATTATCATTGGTCTAACCTGACTGCTCCTTGAGGATCCTCTGAGCGATGCGGTCGATGGTTCCCAGTTTCTGGCTGAAGGTGTCCAGGTATTCTCCCATGGCGCAGAACTCCGGCGGCCGCGCCCGCAGCTTGTAGCCTCCGGCCACGTGCTTCACTGACTCACCTACTTTGGTCAGCAGGGCCAGACCCTGACGCTTGTTCAGGTCCTGCAGACAGAGTGACAACGGGCCTCGACATTGAGAATCACAGTACACAAGCACGAATCGACAAACAGGAATAAAACATGGACCTTGTGATACTAAAACACAGACATGACCAGATTTCTATTCATATTTTGTAAGTAAATAATACAATCTAATCCAAAAATGTTAATATTCTGTTCGTCTCTTGTACCTAACGGGCTGAAATTGTCACATGCATGTTGAAAAGAACCCGACAGCTACTTTGGTTGTTTATGTTATCACCGGTGTGACACTGTCAATGTTATGCTTATGCTCCAGTTTCTTTTACCGAGTCCAATTATTTTACTGCTGCAACAACCTCATTTCCCCACAGGGATCAATAAAGTCTTGTCTTGTGTCTCAGCTACTTAGAGACAAAAATTGTGACTGGTGGCAGATCTGGAGAACACACACACACACACACACACACACACGCACACACGCACACACGCACACACATATACACACACACGGAAGTAGAAGCTGTGTGTTTTGTGGTACTGCACTTTACTGACAGATAGCTGCTGAGATTACGTTTTGGGTAACGACACGCAATATAACACAGTGAATTGCACACAAGCATGTGACAGAAAAAGCTCTGTCAGTTTGCCTGACTGACCTGAATTCGTCTGTGTGTTGATCATGTTGAGCAATCTTTTGTTTCCTGTCCCACAAAGTCAAACAGTGAACTTTCCACCCCTGTGTTCTCTCACCTTGGCAGTTAGGAAAGCGTTTAGATGTGGGTTGAAGGAGAGGACGGGGTGGTCGGCGACTCGCTTCAGGAACTTGTCCAGAGCCTTCATCCGCGTCTCCACGAACTCTTCCGAAAAACGATCGACCACGCCCTTCATCACGAACTTCTCTGGCAACGGCTGCAGATGAGCACAGAGTAGAGGAAATGGGAGAAGCAGAGTTAGAGGATGTAAATAGAGGGTTTCTCGATGACAAGCGGTACACAAGGCTGCGTCCCGGCTCATTTGACCTACAGGGATGAGGTGGGTTGGCTGGCTGTCCTCCAACTTGATCCTCAGCCAGTCAAAGTCCTGGTACCGCCGCCGCACACAGTACTCCGGTAGGTCAAACTCTACCCGTGTTGTCTGAAGGAAAAACACACAAACAATAAATCACCTTCTAAAAGCCAGTGCATTAGCACACATATCACAGGCACACATTATACTGGAGGGGGAACATGTCTCTGCACAGATCAGGATTACTGTACATGCTTATTGACCTTGAAATATAGCTGACACTGCGCACGCACACTCTCTTTCACATTATAGTGTTAAATGGCAGCCCCCACATACTCTCAATTAACACTTTGTGCTCATAGTGGGCTGTGATATTTGTCTACGGCCTCTGAGCCAAGGCACCATGGTGCACATAGCAACTGTTGTCATGACGCCACCCGACGGCTCCTGGCAGTGTCTCCCCCTGAATCTGTTTCTTTCATTACACGACGGAAAGGCCCTGCTGAAAGTCAGAGCAAATTAAGTTGAGTCAGGCAGCGCGGCGGCTCCGAGGCCTGCTGCTGTGTTTACTGGCAGACAGATGTCATGATGGAACACAAGATCCACATAAGTTACTGAATACATCTCCCCGCTGGAGTATAAATCTTTTATGGGGAGCTGGAGGAAGTGTTTTCCTAACAGAAGCTGCATCTGTTCCATCAGCCTGGGATGCATTCTTTGCCTGCAGGAGGCAACATCTGCTGGTTCGCAGTTTGAAACTGGTGCCTTTGCTTTTACTTTCCATTCCTGCAGGTGGCACATTAGCTTTGAACTGATAGAACAAATGTTAACAGAATTTTCAGATATCAACAACAGAAAATGCAAATTTATGCACTTTTTCATCCATTGCTGTTTAGCGAATACTGAGGGTTGGTTCATCAAGATAAGCAGAAGGTGGTGCTAATTCTCCAGTCAGGAGAAGAAGACGCAACAAGATAATGTAATTAAAAAGGAGCGCCAGTCAAAGCCTGGATGTAAAATAAAAACTTATCTGTAAATGACGGGACAAAATTTTGGTATCAGAAGTGTTCTGGTTTCCATTTGTGGCCCAAGTGAGATTGACCAATTACATTCTAACGGCAGCAGAGTCTTAAAGCATGACGAGTTAGCTTCATATTTGCTTTATTTAAATTAATGTCCATTTATATGCAGATATGATAGGCCAGGGGTAGGCAACCTGTGGCTTTTTCGCCCCTCTCCAATGGCTGGGTTTGGCAAAAAAATAAATTAGTAATAATATAGAAATTGATAATGGCTATTATTTAACATTTTCATTTAATTTAAGTAGTCTAATCGATTTCAGTCATTTTTCATTGAAAAGTACTGTAAAAGTACCCCAAAATACTCTCATTGCAGCTTCTTACGTTCAAATATTGGCAGCTTTACACACTCTCCCACTACGGTGAACTAAAACCCTTTGGCGTGAGTACGAAACAAGACATTAGATGACATAATTTTGGGGTTTGGGAGAGACGGACCGAAATTTTTCAACATTTTAACACATTTTTCGATGAAATGATTAATCAACTAATCGAAGAAATAATCAACAGATTAGTCGACAATGAAAATAATCATCAGGTGCAGCCCTATAGCCTACACACTGAATAAAATTACGTTTTTACATTTCATCAACTAAATGTATGTGATATGGCCTCTCTCTTTTTCCTATAAATTTTGCCTAACTTCAATAGTGATGGCTTGTCTTGGATCTCCCTAGCTAAACTAAGCTAGCTATGGATTCCAGATTAAAAAGTCTTGGAGGACAATAGAGAACTTAACAGTGTGTGGACATGTTTGCTTCTACCGCCAACCCTGCAAAGTAGCTCATTTAGATCTATTAGTAATGTTGATGGGCGAATTTTGACTGACTGTTAACTGCATCATAACGCTCGAATATGTTCTACGGCTCCAGGCAGATTATTTGAGACCTTTGGATAGTAAGGGTTTTTGACCCCTGTGATAGGCTAACAGAGATTAGCTGAGATGTCTTAGCTCAGATATCTGGCCCAAAATATTGGCCCTTTGCCCCCCAGAAGCTTATCTTTATCAGATAGCCAACAGACTCTGGGACTGACCTCCCCAAAATAAAACCTTACATCTTAACTGTACATCCAAGAATAAACTCTCTAGGATTGTGACAATGGCAGGTAGAATAGTTGGCAGGCCACAAAAGCCCTTGACCCAACTCTTTACAGAAAGGACGAGGAAGAAAGTCGGGAATATCTTCAGCCAGTTTGAGCTCTTGAGCTCTAGGATGTGCTACAGAGTGTGGCAGTAGTGCCTCGATATACTGTAGTGTGCTATAGTGGCTCTGGCAACCAAAAACGTATTTAAGAAGTCCGTCTTCCCAAGTGACATCACTATCCTTACCTCAACAAAGTGACTGATGCCTCTTAAACCATTGTCAGACAATGAGCCGATCTAATGTGTATTCACTATGATGGATTACCTACTTCAGGTGGCGCAGATAATTTCACTGTATGCTCAGAAAAATGGTTCAGAGCAACATCAAGCATAAAACATGCTAAACAACCACCATGACCCAATTAGACAGAGGTTTAATACGACCCCAAATGCCCAAAGAGAACCAGGTAGACGGTGTTACCATGACACCAGCCAATAGCTGACCTTTGTGGAGACTCTGTAGGTGATGTAGGTCTCCATGGTGGAGACGTGCTTCTTTGGGTCGTCAACCGTGACAAAAAGGTCACGGGTCTCTGCGGCGTCCACGTAGGGGTCCCGCACATCTGCTTCCAGGTCGTCGTCCAGCTGCAGCCTGTTGAAGAGCGAGGACGTGGAGGCGGGACTCGACGTCTCGACCGGCGTGCCGTTGGTCAGCCCCGCTTCCTGCTTGGACAGAGACAACAATAGTGACACCAAATTCAGTTGATGTGGAAAAAGCAGCAAACAATGGGCTGATAGATTGATGCTGATGGGGATGGGGATGGTGACGGTGATGCAGTCGTGTCTCTCGGTCAATGGGGCTGTTGTCGAGGCTGAGAACACACCCTGCATCATCTGACACTACTGCTGTCTCTATAATTGAATGATGGATGAGAGAAGAGGAATGGAGCATTTGTGGAATTGGGGATACATTTCCACAGCCTTAGTATGACAAAATCAAACTGTGGGACAACAGTGGATAGGTATACCATCTCTAGGTTGACGAAACGAACAAATATTTGAAAGAAACCGTTGGTGTTTGAGTTTTTTCCATTAACAGATGATGACTTTTACTTTATATAGACAGATCCATTTTCCTGAAGTGCCTTTAATGGCCTATTTTCTGGACAAACAAGTGTTTGGTGCATTAATCCATACAAAACAGATTCGATAAATATCTCTATCAAACTGACGTAAGACTATTCATACACTATTCGAAGGTAACGCTCTTACACGGGTGTTTCAGTGCAAAACACACGCTGTCAGACTCATTCTAACACTTTCATTTTTTCCAAGTGTTTTCTATAGCAGCAAATGGAGAGCAAACAACAAACTTCCCCCACAGGCTCCATCCAAAAACAAGAGCGCTAAAAAAAAAAAAAAGCTATAAAAAGGCAAATAACTGGACAAAAGTGTCGGCTGTGGAAAGTGTCTCTGCTAAAATGAAGAGACAACCTGTGGATTTGGACACGTTATTATTAGAGAGAAGAGAACGACGTGGTTGATTCTATTTCTAGGTGCTGTCGAATCTCATTTCTCAAGGATACATATTAAAAAAGCACATTTCAGAGGATTCATACATTACTGCACAATTACAAGGGACTCTGAAAATCACATTAGCGAGCAGCAGGCTGAAGGCAACAGAATGTTAAGTGTAAACAAAGACTAAAATGTAAACAGCGCTACAGGAAGGTAAGCAAAACACAGAGACAGCAGGGCCGCATCATCAAAACTGGCCCTGAAAGTAAAACTAACACACACACATCTCTCACTTCAGCAACCTGTTCTTGTGACAACACTTCTCACGAGTCCTCAAGGGCCCCATCTGACCTCACGTGAGGACGCCAGACTTCTGTCCAGGTTAAGGTGCGAGTTAAAAAGCAGCTAATGTTCAACCTGAATCACTTTTTCTTTTAATCGCCTCCTGTGTTGCAACTTTCCAATTTGACCGGCACACACACACACTCTCTCTGCAAGTTCACACGCTGACCACACACACATAATTCTTCACACCACTCTGTCTCTGCTTCTGTATACACACACACACACACTCACACATACACGGACAGGCTGCTGACGTTGTGAGAGCACTTTTTACACTGTGGTCCTAACCTGCACTGGTAATCACACTTCAGATAATTGCGTTGCGTTGCATCATTACACCACTGTGAATGAACAACCAGGCCGAGGCAAAGTAGCCTCGACAGACAGGGCTGTGCCCAAATTCATGTTTCACATTTGAAGCTTCTATTGAGGCTAGCGAATGGGGGTCTGTGGAGTTATCCTACGAAAATGGAAGACGACTGACATTGAAAGAATGGGTTAATGCAATGGTGGAAATAGCATCTTATGAATGAAGGCTCAGTAGAATAAATGGCGACCAGGAGAAAGGAGAATCTCCTTGGGACTGGTTATGGACTCATATCAAAATGGAGGATAAGCCAACATAATTATGAACTTGCTCAGTGATTATGTGACCCTGTAGAGTGATGTTTAAGGGACATGTGTGACATGTTTTTGTTTGTTAGTTAGCGTTCTTCTCTTTCTTTCTAGACTTATTTGTTAATTTTTCAAGTACTGGAGTCCAACTCCATATTATCAAAAATACGTGCCTTGTATTTTTGTATGCCTGGAAAATACTATATAAATGCCATGTACCGAGCATTTCAAGACAATAAAAACTTGAATTATAAAAAAAAAATAAAAATCCAAGTTTTGAACATCTGTCATCATATTTTACATCGTCGTCATGACCCTAAAAAGATTATATTCTAAACAAAATTCTCAGTTTGAATAAAGTGATTCAACAGATTAAATTACTTAATCTTGTTTTTATTACATCAAATTTCTTTAATGAATATATCTCATCAGTTTTCTTAACATAAATACATGTAGGGAGTAAGCTAATCTAATGAGGGCATAAAATAACAATGAAATATACTAGTGGTTCTCAAACGGTGTGCCATGATGCCAAACCAGGTGTGCCGTGGGATTTTGTGACAACCACACATTATTATTACTGCAATATTCAACCGGACCTACACAAATAGTTATGAATCAATTTTTAATTGAGTGTATCAGTACGTTTTGTGCACACATTTCCTAATAAACAGGCAAACTCTGGCTAAAAAATGTAATTTAATTGAATTTTTAAAAAAACCTTCACAGGGATTATCTTACATAACTTCCCCTTTAAATGGATGTCTAATTGGTGCTTTGATGTCATTTAAAATGTTTAAGGTGAATTCTTGAATCATTTTGTTAATAAATATTTCATGAGTAATGGTTGGCTGCCAATTTTTAGAGCGATAACACAGGTTAGAGAGGCTGTTGTGCACAGATATAAATACAGAGGACCACTGAAAGAGTCCAACAGTCACACCCTTACACATATGGCAACTTTATGCTACAATAGAAGAGGCACAAAAATAAATGAGAACATTATTTCAAATTTAAGTGTTAGCATAAAAGTCTGGTGCAGAATTTGTTGTGCAAATGATGGAGGCTGTAATCTAGGTAACTATGTTGAAATGTTTGGGTCACATGAGTTGGAAACAATCCTGTGCAGTCAGGAGTTTAACACTACAGATAGTACAATGCTGATAGTATTAGTTTTGCTCAATCTTAATCTGCAACTGTGCAGAAACATCGGGTTTAAACACAATGAATAGGGATGCAAACAAAGGCTGCACAGCTTTGAATGTTGATTCAGAATTTGAATGTCACCCTTACAAAGTCTGAAGTTTCAGACTATTTGGTACAGCCCTGACAGACAGTGAGGAAGAATCTGAAAATATTACACTGGGCAAAGCAGATCTGTTCCAAATACATAGAAAAGTTGGGAAGCTGTGATATAGGAGTTGACAGATGTGAAGTTCTACTTATTGCTAATACTGCGAGAAAGCTTATATTTTGCATTTTAGAGTGTCACAGCTCCTTTAAATCTTCTGAACATACTGGACAGCTTTTTGGAGAAATATGTGGGCAGACATTTTGACGTGTCAGAGCAGGACAAACACAGATGTTTCTGATAACATTAATGATGGCTCCATTCTATCCAAGCATCCCAGTGTGACAGAGGGCCAGCATGCATGATACCAGCACCCTGACACCAAAGCAGTTCAATGGAACTCAGCTATTATTCAGTGTACTATTTACACCTGTGCTCTGCCTACTGTGACTTGCCAAAATATCTCAGCTGAAAGGGGCCAAGTAAATGGCACCAACCTCTGTTTAAGGATATGACTGTTACTGCATGCGCTCTAATAGTTGGACCCAAAATCTCATATTACCATAAGAACGATACTGTGGAACTGAGTCAAAAATAAACTGTGCATGGACTGCAATTTCCAGATTTTCAAAGAAGTCTGTTCGACCGGAAATTCTTGTTTGCTTTCTCAGGTAAAGAAACTAAGACTGTAACCATAGCAGCAGGTCAGTGATGTCATTTCCAACCATTACTTTGCACTGCTGGTCATAATATAATTGATCTTCTATTTTTACACCTGCAATTTTGATATTTTTATTTCATTCCTGTGTATTTCTCTTGTATATTTTAAAATCTAACACTACTTATTTTTGTGTCATATATTTCATTTTGATCTGTTTTTGTCTTATTGTGTTTAAATTACTGTCCACGTACTGTTTGATTACTTGCTGTAACACAAGAATTTCCCAGTTTGGGATCAATAAAGTACGATCTTTCTATCTTTCTATCTTTCTATCTATCTATCTATCTATCTATCTATTTAATATTGTGTACATTAGTACGGAAGCGTATTGCATTCACTTGACAAATTAAAAAAAACAGTTTAATTGAGTATTTTTTTCTGTTTTTCTGAGTAATTTTTTTATTTTTCTGTTTTTCCGAGTAATTTTGTTTCTGTTTTTCGTGGGTTTTTTTTTTGTTTTTCGTGATAATTTTTTATGTTTTTCGTGGTAATTTTGTTTCTTTTTTCGTGGTATTTTATTTTTGGTTTTTCGGGGTAATTTTTTCTGTTTTTCTGAGTATTTTTTTCTGAGTTAAGAGAGCAATAGAACAACAGACGCTTTCATTCCTTTCTTGAGTAAGGTGCCTGCGTAAAGTCGACACACTAATGATAACACCATCTATATGACTTAAAGACAAGAGTATCTCCCAGTGTCTCAAACCCAAAACAAAGTAAAACTGGATTAAACTAAACAAGCGGGTCATGTTTGCTTCCATTATATCGAGCTCTCAAGAAAGGAATGAAAGCGTCTGTTGTTCTATTGCTCTGAGAAAACAGAAAAAATGACCCTGAAAAACAAACAAAAAAATACCACGAAAAACAGAAAAAAATACACCGAAAAACAGAAAAATAAAAAAATTACTCTGAAAAACTGAAAAAATTACTCAATAAAACATTTTTTTTTTTATTTGTCAAGTGAATGCAATACGCTTCCGTACATTAGTGACCTGCCTTTTTTTTTTTTTTTTGCACATGGACCCCGGGAAGAATAAAAAATAAAAAAGGAAGGAAAAAACTAAAACCTCAGCAACTTGTTGCTATATAATATAAGTTCAGGGCATTATATTTTATGCAAGATGCATTTGAAAAACATTGCTTGACGAAACACAAAGTGATAGCACGTTTATCCAAGGTGGTACAATACACTTAATTAATTATCCTAATAATAAGAAATCTTGTGGTCTTGCTGGAAGATACAGAAATTTGGGGATGCTATAGGACAAGAAATTAATAAAGTCTTCGCCACTGATCTAAGAAATGATCCAAAAGACATGCTACATGGTACATCAAATGATTTTATTACGAATACGTTTAATGGTTAAGTCTATAAACTGCAAGAAAGGGATTACCTCTGAACTGGATATCAGACAGAATTTCAACTAAAACCGAGCAGCAAAAGGTCACACTTGAATATAATTATTTGGATTATTTGACATGTATCCTGCACTCGAAAGATGATGTGTTTAATAAAACATGGATGTCTTTTATGTCCGATATTCGATTGGAAATTTCAAGTATTCTTATGAGAGGGTTTATGTACTGTACTGTGTCTTCACTTTATAGATGTTTGATCTGTGAGCCAAGATGTTTTGTTTGTATATTCTGTTGGATGATATATGATTTGTTTTCCACTAAAAAAAATTAATAATACGGAATCTGTCTAATTGTTAAATCTGCTACTGGATCTGCGTTAAAAAAAAGTTAAAGACAAGATTTTGTCATTCTCATGGGTAGAAAATAGCACAGGTTACAAAATGTAAAGAATGCAGAGTTAGAAATGGTTCCAAAAAAATCTAATCCAACCCCAAAAAGAGACCACTTGTTCGCAGACCTGTGATCTAACTATCCATCAACTTTTATTGAAACATGTTGACAGACTGGTCGACTGGGACCTGAACCATTAGCTCCTCTCCGCGCAAACAGAGGGACTCTTACAGACTTCACATTTTTAATTAGTGCGATCTTTTGCCTCTGGTTACTCAGAAATAAGAAAAAGTAACCTATCACATCATCTCTTACTGGCAATAATTAACTGCAAACCAAAGTGGCTGCTAAGTGTGTGGACTCTATGTAAAACAACAGCAGGAAGAATAAAAGCTTTGTGGTTTGTTTGCTGGGTCCATCCTTGTTTACACAGCACGCTGAGGCTGATAATGATGTCAGGGCCTTTTACAGAAAATGGAGACCAAAAGAGGTGTAAACTGGAGTCAGTGTAATGCAACATGATCTAATTCAAATGGTGTTAACACGTGACTCATTGTAGCCTTTGAGTATGTGTGTATCAGTGAATGTATGTGCATTATTTGGATTATTTTCTGCCTGTTTTTTTTTTTATGTATCTGCTGCTTGTTTTTAATGCTGTATGGAGCTAAGACAATGTTTTGGGGGTTTGCATGCATGCAACAGTGATTTAGTGCAACTCAGGTTGAACTTTAACCTCCAGTCATGGGTGATAAATCTTCAAACTGACAAAAATTAATTAATATTACCCAGGAAAGGCGTTGACTTATGTTTATCCCATTATCTCCATTAAACTTCCATCACTTTGCTGCCACTTGTTTAATGGTTTAGCCACAAACACTGGTGCCAGCCTGTAAACAGGTTAGTTTACATAGTATACTTTGGTTAGCAGTGCTGTTCCCGTCGCCTGGTTGTTCCCTATCAGTCAACCCGGTGAGGGAGCAGCCCCAGCGGACCCTACCTTGTCCCCTCCGATGTTGACGGTGACGGAGTGCGGCTCCTCGGCGGCGGACAGCGGGTGGAGGATCTCCGCGATGGGCTTCTGCCCCGAGCTGGCCAGGCCTCTCGGAGCGCCGACACTCATCCTGCGGGAGGCGGGAAGACGTGACCGGGTGTCGGAGGGGGTGCTTAACGGCTGTCCGGTTCTCCGCGGCTGGCAACGGTTGGTGGAGACACAGGGAGGCTTCTTGCTCCGTTCAGGTCTCTTCGGTTGAGATGTTACACCCGCTGGTTGGTCACAACTGTCAGCTGACACCCACCACGCAGCTCCGGAAGTTTAACTGCGCGGACCCGGATATAAACACACGCGTCACGTGACAATGGGCAACGAATGAAATTGTAAAGATCGTCTATTGAGAGGATCAGTGAGCTTGTTACTGACACTGTTAACCCTGCTTATTTCCCCACATTACTACAAAGAAATACAAGGAAAACATCATGTAAAAGGCAGTAATTATGAATGAAATATTAATACAAATACAAAATAATGATCTGTTTTGAAACGAAAAAAACATTCCCAACTAAAGGTCTACTTACTGACTTTTTCCCCTGGGCTTTCAACTGTATCTCATGGTTAAAAGATGGGCTTTTCTTTGCCATTGAGATATCACTGTCATTGTTAACTGTGCAAGATCATGAGATGGTAAATGGACTTGCACTTGTATAGTGCTTTTCTAGTCCCCTGACCACTCAAAACATGTTTATGCTACATGTCACATTCACACACATTCACACACCAGTGGATGTGCATGTCCATAAGTTGACTGGCTCCTAAGGTCGACACGAGGACTGGAAGGGCCAGAGATTAAACTGCAGATCTTCTGATTAGCAACAATCTACCTTTACTTCCTGAACCACAGTTGCCCCGATGTGGTTGAAAGCTCTGGAAAAAAAGTTAGTAACCTAATTCATGTATTTATTTGTTGAAATAGTAATTTGTGCTTTCGAACAAATAACTTATGCACACGACCAAGTAATTACATGAGAAGCACGTGATGACTGAAGTGCTCATTGATTCTAAATTTCTAATTTGTTTTAAAGCACCGCATGGACTTGCACCTGGTTACATCTCTGCACTGCTCATCCCTTACTCAAGGTCTAGAGACAGGGGCACTGTAGTCGTGGGAAAAGTGGGACTGATTACCTGAAGGGAGGGGGGCTCGAAAAGCCTGGCATGAAAAGTTTGGTTTTGTTTGCAAGTTTTAAAGTAATTAATGCCCAAACTTAATAGAAAATGGCTGAATAAATGGGTATAGAGACTAAACTCTTTATTTAAAAAATTGTGGAAGCTAAAAAACGGAAATCAGGGCTCCAAAAAAGAAAAGACAAGAAAGAAAAGGGAATATAGCAAACTGACTATGTAAAGGGAAAAAATTAAAAGGTGCATGAGAGAGACATGGATCAAGAGAGGAAGGGCAAGGGGCCCACAGAGACTGCTCATGCATACAGGCCCAGACTTTGGTGCTACACCCCTGTCCCGAACCCTCAGATCTGGGGTCTCGTATATAAACACTACGTACGCACAAACCAGGCCTGAAAGAGACGTATGCCACTTCCCACAGAAAAACTGTGATCTATTTAAACAGACTTGATGGGAGAAACTCTGACCCATGTTTAATGAACATTTTAGAGAGGAGGAAATTGGTGATGCAGATGGTGAGGTGGAAGTCTGATTGCAGAAATTGTTTAATATTTTTTTGGGTTTTTGTCTGTACGTATATTCTTAGTGTAGACCCTGCGCATTGTTTTATAAACAAGACTCCTAGTGACCAATCACTGCTCTTCATTTCACCCACCCAGTTAAAAATTAAAGGTGACAGAGCATTTTCAGTTGTTGGCCCTAAACTGTGGACTTGTCTCCCACTTATGATTAGATCTCCTCCCTCCATTGATACATTTAAAACCCATCTTAAGATCCATCTCTATTCATCAGCCTTTTAATCATCATCACGATATCATGCCTGACCACTGCTTGACACTACCTGTAGGCTACCTGTTTCTCCCCCTGGGCAGTAAGAACACTGAACAAACAGTAATCGTGTGCAATGCTAATTTTGTGTTATGATCTTGTCAAGATATTGTAGGCTTTTATTAATTTACTTACATTTTCCTAATTATGGCTGTTTTTATTTGATCATGCCTCTGTTTTATTTAATTTTTTTTGTGAAGACTTTGGTCAATATTCGTTGTTAAGGTGCTCTATAAATAAATCTTGAAAGTTTACTGAGCATGTACAGTAAAAAAATTTGAGGAAACTATTTTCATTTGAATTCTAGGGTTTGTATATTTGAGGTAAGCATCTATATGATACCTTAATTAATTTAAAGAGCTAAAAAATAAAATACATAAATAAATAAAAGTATTATTTTTACGTACCATAGCTCGCTTCATCATGTATGTTTACCAGCTCTTCTGACTCTTCTTGATAACGTTTTCTGGTGACCTGAAATAGGAGCAGAGTGAGACATCTTCGCGTGAACATACCTATCCGGAAAACCGGCGCTTGGCTTCAGAGGCAAAATGCGACTCACCATCAGCACATAAGCGAGAGTTTTATCGTTATTTTAAACTTTAATTCACTGCTACAACACTAAGTTCTGTGTAGCCTATCAAGTATACGTCATATTTATCACCTAGGGGGACTTTTATCGTTGTCCGCAACCCAACAAGGCAACATTTGCCGAGCGGAGGGAGACAAATCAATCTCACACCATTAGCTAGCTAATATAAGCCTCTCTGTAGCTTGTTAGTTTGACCTGCCTCTTGGTACAAGCACCAACATGGCTGCTAATCCTCCTGGACAAGGTAATTATTATATTTTGGGACAAACGACATTGGTTTTTGAAGGTTTTTGTCGTTATCGAGGTGTAAGTGCAGGGGCGTAACTACGAAATGGGGACCCCCGGAAACATGGTTCCCTTTGAGGATGGATGGTTATAAGTCTCTAGAAAATTAGCCAAATGTTTCTCGTTTTTTGGTCTTTAATTATCTGTCATCTACTGTCACTGCAAACACGAGAATATATGCTCCTTATTGACCATTGGTTCTTATATTTTTTGTGGTAACACAGTCATTTGCATTCATATTTACGTGCCTGTCATTTCAGGAATTAAGTGATGTTAGCTGATACATGTTGTCACATCCCTGTAGATTCCCCCACCGTCTCTCTGTGTCTTCATTTTCTTTCTCCTCTGTCTAGCCTTCCCCAACAAGACACGTGTGGCGATCCTGGCCGAGCTGGAAAAGGAGAGGAGACGTCTGATGAGCACCCCTGGAGCCAGGTAGGGCCCGTATCCAGCCATGGAGGGTGACAGGAGTCTCAGTCCTTGGAGAAACCTGTTAAGGTACCCCCCCCCCCCCCCCCCCCCCCCCAATGGCAACGGCAGTCCCCAGTAGCTGTGGCCCCCCAGCAGGACAATGCACCATGCCATGCTACAAAAACTGCTCAGGAATGGTCCAAGGAATGTGACAAAGAGCTCAAGGAATTGAACTGGTCTCCAAATTATCCAGATCCCCATCTGATCAAACATCTGTGAGACGTGCTGGTACCCCACCTCACAACCTACAGGACTCAAAAGATCTGAAGCTAACGCCCTGGTGCCAGACACCAAAGGACACCCCCCAGAGGTCCTGTGTCCATGTCCCAACAGGTCAGAGCCAAGTCCGGTTCAAGGAACACCCACCGTGGATCAGGGGTACCTCTGGGGTACCAGCACGTCCCTCAAATGTTCAGTCAGATTGGGATCTGGGGTATTTGGAGGCCAGGTCGACACCTTGAGCTCTTTGTCCTGTCCCTGGGGTCACGCCTGAGTAGTTTTGGTGATGTGGGATGGTGCATTGTCCTGCTGGGGGGCCACTTATTTTGTCTGCAACGGTGTTTGGGTGGGTGGAGGACGTCAAGTAGCATCCACATGAATGCCACAATCTAAGGTTTCCCAGCAGAACACTGCACTGTAACAAGATGGTCAATGTTATTCACTTCACCCACCAATGGTTTTAATGTTTTGGCTGATTGGTGTATTTGTTCTATATGTCGATACTCAAGTATTTTCTCATTCCCTCTCATCCTCCAGCATCTCGCTGTCCAGACCAAACCTGAAGGAGTTCAGGGACAATGCAGAGCAACAGCACATCGCTGCCCAGCAGAAAGCTGCCCTGCAGGTGAGACGGGGTCGAACACGAGTGCATCTTCATGGCAGATCATTTACAAGTTTCCATACAGCATCAAGTACAACAACAAGTTATAATCTGTGTCTAAATATCTGTCTTATGTTATGCCATACACAGAGCAAGCAGGCGGTTAGCTTAGCTTAGCATACAGACTGGAAACATGGGGAAACAGCTAGCTTAGCCTGTCCAGAGGAAACAATACCAGCTACCAGAACCTCTAAAGACACGTTACAGTGTTTAATCAATGCTGAATGTGGTCTGTCAGTAGTAACACAAACATTTGCCTCTCTGCGTCTTCTCTTGCAGCACGCTCACACACACTCAACAGGCTTCTTCATCACTCAGGACTCCTCGTTCGGGAACCTCATCCTCCCCGTCATTCCGCGCCTGGAGCCCGATTCCTGACCTTTTTACCTTTTGTCCTCCTCCCACTGCCAAACAACACACGAGCACGTCAGACCCACGTCTCTCCCAATTTCTCTCTTTCAAGTCTGCGATTAATGGACAGTTGTTTGTCACATTGTAAACAATCTCAGGGGAGTGTGAATCTGTCATTTGTACATTTTCCAGACTAACAAGCTGGCTGCCGGATTTAGGAAAGCTTTCATAACAGTTGGAAGAAGGTTCCAGATAGCTGTGAGACATCCAAGTGGTGCAGGGGCTGAAACACGCTGTACATGCTATCCTGCTCCGTTGCCTCACTGCACTGATCCATTAGATGCACATCTGTCAGGGTTTTTACATGAATGGATTTGTATTGATATTTGGATAATTAAATTGTTACATTCAGTGTATATGTTGAATTTCAGTTTTTATTTTTGCAAGTATAAAACATGGTGACAGAAGGTCCAAATGCACCGTTACGTTCACATTATACTATTTTACTACTTTTTTCCACTTATGATCTTTTTGTCTTCACTGTTCACAGCCATGTTTTAACCTTTTGAAACCTGAGCAAATAGGCTTGATGTCTTTTAAGAATACGGGAAGAAGGCGATAAGCAATGAAAGAGGACATGACCCAAAAAATTAGCAAGAAATTAGTAAGAAGAGTAATAAAAGGGTTTAATTGCGAATATTTCTCACAAAACTGGTATGTTGATCAGCCGTAGTGTCTTTAGCATACATTTATTACATGCTTTATATTTTGAAACACCTGAAATAGGACTTTATGCCGCACTGTGCCCATGGGGGAACTGCCCATTGGTCCGACAGCCCATTGTTCCGACCATATTAAACCCATTGTTCCGAAGTCCCATTGTTCTGAAATCATCATGATGCCCTGTGGTTAAGGTCTGGTTAGGTTTAGGCACAAAAACCACTTGGTTAGGGTCAGGAAAAGATCATGGTGTGGGTTAAAATGAAAAAGAAAGTGACAAACACATAAGCTGTGAGCCTGCTCCGCCTCAAGCCTTTCCCAGCTGACCCAGAGCTGGTCGCGGCGCACCATACGCCCGCCGCAAGCCATTCAGCACCGCGGACAGTCAGACTAATGGGATGTCGAACCAATGGGCTGTTGGACCAATGACATGGACCCGCCCATGGACAAAGGCCTAATTTTTCCTTTCTAAAATTCAAGCAGACTTCCTTAACTTCATAGCGCTCACTGTTTTTAGTGGTTTATTGTAAAACTGGTAGGTGGAACACAAAACATCACATGAAACATACAGCATATCACCAAGCATGAAAAAGTCACTGAACCTTGAATACTTAAAATTCCCTTATTGATCAGACGAACATCATAAGTAGAGCCATTATGAAAGCAAATAAGACATTAGTAGTGAGTATTGAATTTTATCAGCCACTTAATATTGAAATTTAAACACCACTGAATTCATAGCATTTAAATATTTTACTTTGAAAACCACTTATCTGAATTGATTTGTTCTGAATTAACCTGAAATTAAAATACAAACAATTTTCATTTGCAGTTCCAAAAGCTGAATTTTTCCAATGTTCACAAATTCAGATCCAAAATTTATATTAAAAAAACTTTCAAATAACAACAACCGGGCTACCATGGACAGGCTAGACAGTTGAGCCTGAATGCAACGTATCTGACTTCTGGCCTGTTAGAGCACGGTCTGTCAGTCACATGACCCAAGTAAGCGGCTCGAAATTTAAACCCAAACTTTCAGCTTGACTTTTTTAGATACAAAATTGACCAGTTGAATTTGAGCAACTCAAACCAAACCAAATTTTTTTTTTTTTTTGTTAAATTCTGGAACTTGATTTTTTGGATCTGAATTTGTGAACATTGAAAAATTCAGCCTTTGAAATTGCAAATCAAGAATCAAGATTTTAATTTGAAAACCCCGTAACTGAATTGATTTGTTCTGAATTTACCTCTCTGACGTTAAAATATAAAATTTCTTGATTTGCATTTTTAAAAGCTGAATTTTCAATGTTCATAGATTTAGGTCCAAAAAATTTAGTTCCAGTTTAAAAACAGTGATTTTGTTTACTCACATTTGATTGATCTAATTCAGATCTTAAAAGTCAAGCTGAAAGCTGCATGTGGCTCCAGAGCCGCAGGTTGCCTACCCCCTGGACCAGCCTGTGCTGGGTGGCCCAGATGTTGCTATTCATATGAGGTGGTTTTCAAAGTAAAATATTTCTATAACTGCTATGAAATCAGTGGTGTTTTGATTTCAACATTAAGTATTCAGTAGCTGTTAAAATTCAAGTACCTCTGTTTCTTATTTGCCTCCATGAGCGACTTACGTTTCAACTGTGGACACCACAGAATCAACCAATCACTTATTGTATGTCATTGTATATCAGTTTTATTTCATTTTAATTACTTATTTCAGAAGTTGGAACTTGGTTATAATGAACTCTGAGCTACTATGACTGCAGTTTTGAGTGATCGTCCCAGTAGAATCTAAGATCAAGGACTTGTTCTCTTTATCACAATTCACAATTCTTTCTGTCACAATTTTAATGTTTTACAACCATTCAAGGAGAAATCCACTGGATAGAAGGTAGAAAGTTTACACCCACAGAAGCAGCAATGTGGCCAGAGTGTAGTGCACCCACATGATGATCAGAGGTACACAAGTTTGTGAAAAAGAAAATTACAACAACCTTGCAATATCATTTCTGGAATAAGTTGAGGACCTGATGGTGCAGTATCGAACAGTATAATCAGAGAATCCAAGGGTGGGCTTTCCTTTTTCTATGCCTGAGAAGTGTGTATGATGAGCCTCTGATCCGGTCAGTCTGTTACCGTTACTGTCATTTTGACACAATGGGCAGCAGTTCACCTTTTGTTTTCATGGTTTTGATCTTGGCCTTGATGTTATCATCCATGGCCTGTCGGCAGCGGTGGGCGTAATGCGCCAGCGTCTCCTCTTTCTCATCCCACGGTGTCAGAGCATGAAAGACCTCTGGAGCAGCCAGGCTGAGCTCAGCTATGGACGCCGTACGGGCGATCGTGTTGCGGTCCACACTGACACGGTCAAAGGCCACCTTCATGGAAACACTGCGGCGAAACTCCTGGAGGGCTGCCATGTAGCGTGCTATCACACCCGCCACGTTTTTCACTGGAGAAGAGAAGGACAGTGAGAGACATCAGTACATAAAGCAATATATAGTAACCATAAGGATGCTTCTACCCACAGAATAACACTAGTATCAATATTAAAGTGTGGTTAATCCTCCATGTCCGTGTCATCCTCTTACTCCTGACTCGGGGGTTTTCTCCGTCCCGAATCCTCTTGCTCTTCAGCGTGTGGTGGTTCAGAGGGTGAAGCTCCATGTCCTCAAATGAGTCAAACATTGTCGGTGAATCGACTGCTGCCACATCGTCAGAAGACGGCATGCGTGAACTTCCTGGTTCGTTTTGATTAGACCAGCAGGGCCTCCTCTTATCTAGAACTAGAAATAGAAAAACGATGACTCTGAAAGATGGTTAAAGGCACATTTCACTTACTTACAGTACTGTTTATCGGCCTCAATTGTTTTGGTGTGAGTTGCCGAGTGTTTGCAATATTGGCCATATAGTTGTCTGCCTTCTCTCTAATATAACGTATCCAGATGGCACTCGGCTTGCGGTGCTCAAAGTGCCAAATGATACATTTGAAAAACCCCACAGCAATGTCTCTTTCCAGAAATCATGACACAGTTACTCAAGATAATCCACAGACCTTGTGGTAAGATATTGATAAAGGAGCCGTATCACTGCACAGAAGGAAGCGTGCATCTACTCATGGATGAGTAGATGCTGTTGACAGCACGAGATGTCAACAGTGATGGCTCCTTTTTGGCTGAGCTGTAATGTTAGCTAGCTCAGCGGTGCTAGGTGAGCTAGCCGCACTTTTCTTTTTGCATAGTGATACGGTTGGCTGTTGTAGTTCGATGAAAAGAAAACAGTGGACTATCCTGATTACCGTGTCATGATTTCTGGAAAGAGACATTGCTGTTGAGTTTCTCAGATGTATTTGTTTCGAGGCTTTGAGCTCCAATTAAAAGTGAAACAGTGCAGCAAAAGAAACTTTGGTAACGCTTTACTTGAAGGTATCTACATAAGGGTGACATGACACTGTCATAACTATGACATGACACGGTCATAAACATTGTGTACATGTCATAAACGTTTATGACTGCTCAGTGTCATTCAGTTTTTGTAATGACAAGTTGACATTGTTTAGGTTGTCTTGATTATGACAACTTGACATTAATTAAAGTGACATCACCAGAAGATGTCTTTGTATCAATCATGTCAACTTGTCATAAGCACAAAAAGACGTGCATTTCTTGTTCATGTCAAGTTGTCATTATAAGGACATCCCAAACAAATTTAATGTCAACTTGTCATGACAAAGACACCTTCTGGTGATGTCACTTTGATTAATGTCAACTTGTCATAATCAAGACAACCCAAACAATGTCAACTTGTCATTACAAAAACCAAATGACACCAAATGATAGCAGTCATAAAAGTACATGTGTACACACATTATGTACATGTATAGACATATACATAATGTTCATGACTGTGTCATGTCATAGTTATGACAGTGTCATGTCACCTTTATGTAGATACCTTTACATAAAGTGTTACCGAAACTTTTCAGTGGGGGTGGGGGAAAAATGGATACAGCATAGTATTGCAATATTTTTGTGTGGCAATATCGTATCGTCACATGGCGCCAAGTGTCGATTTTTTTTTTTCAAATTATATAAATTACAAATACAAATTAAACTTTAGGTAGCCGACTTGAATAATATAATCAGTTGCTTTTTCAGTCCACTACATACATTTTCCTGCTGCAAAAAAAAGACTTCCATGAGATAAACAGAATAAGAACTTCGTCTTATTAGATAAAACAGATGTTGACAAAGTTTTCCTTTGAGGATATTATTAGCAGCTGAAAACAGGTAATAAATCAAAATATCGTAACATAGTTTATCACAATATTCTGCATATCGCAACACATTTACAGTCGCGATAATATTGTATCGTGACTTAAGTATCATGATATCGTATCAGGGAGCCTCTGGTCATTCCCAGCCCTACTTTTTAGTGTATTATTGTTAGGTGTACATGGAAAACAATTTTTCAATGGTGTTTTTCATTTTTATTTTGCTTTCATTTTTGATTTTATATGGCATTTCTTGTAGACATTTAGAGTACAAACTTAATATTTACTGATTTATTTTACTACTACGGTCATTAAGTGTTCAGTGGTTGTAAAAATCAGTCATCAGTACTTTCTGTTTTATTATTGTTTTTGTTTGCATCTGTTTTGTTCAGATTTTCATCACTTATATGTAGTGATGGCCTCATGAAGCCTCATGAAGCATTTTCTTTATTTTCTGAGCCCACTAGATGGCACTCTTGGTTTAAAGAGAGTGTCTCAAAGAATGGCAATTCAGTGTGTTTTAAACCTTTTGTTGAACAGAAAGTGCCATCTAGTGGGCTCAGAAAATAAAGAAAATGCTTCATGAGGCTTCATCTGGCCATCACTACTTATATGTGAAGTACTTTGAATTGCCAATTTTTCATGGAAGCAATACACAAGAATAGTTACGTCCTGCTAACCTGCAGTCACTTTAAAAGCACTGCAATTTGCTTTCACTGCAGCAAAACTTTAGTGTACAGTAGAGTACAGTTAACAGTGCTGGTGAGGTCACTGAATTCATCAACAGGTGGATTTTCTACCTGGCCGCATTTTGTCCTGCAGGAAGTCACAGATGAGTTCGGCTTTCTTCGTAAGCTCTTGCTGCAGCAGCTCTTTGTCCTGCCTCAGACTGGAGATGATCTCCGTCATCTGCTGGTTACGGCTGCGCTCTGCACTCAGTAACGCCTGCAGCTTCTCCAGCTCATCCTGACCCCCTGCACATTTGCACACAGACAGAATTACACTTTTGTTTTAACGATAGATATATAAGCTTGGGTTCTGCAGGCTCCCTCTCTGCAGGTCTTTCCAAACCTCACAATAAATCTGTACCTGCAGTATTCTCTGTAGTCTCTGAGACGGAGCTGCAACTCTCTGCATGCTCCGTGGTCCCTGTCACGCAGCTGCCTCCGAGCTGCTCCATCTTTGGGTCCACTGCTGCCTCACACCCCGGATTGTGTCCATTCTGGAGCTGAGGGCAGGGTGGGAGGAGCTTGTCTGGAGACAGTGGCTTTGGTGCCTGAAAAGCCTGTGAAGCATAGACAGCCTCGGTCACTGCCAGTGCCGTGCTAGCCACTTTAGCAGCAGTGACATTATCCTCTGCAGAGGTTGCTTCCTGCTTGATCTTCTTCTCGAAAACTGCTCCTAATGATGTGCCGCCTCTTTTTCTGGATGGGGGGGGCTCGTAGTCTGCATCATCGTCTGTGGCCGACGAATCGCATCCAGCAATGTCAAAGAGCTGGCTGCTGAAGTCCTCCATCTCTGATGCTGCTTCGCTACAGGAGAGGTCACACGATGACCTCACTGTCACCTGGAAGATGAGAAAGAGAGAATAAGTTTTTGACAGAACGTCTGTTTTACAAACTGGGCACAACAAGATAAATGCTTGTAATGAATACACAGGGAGGCACATCCCATAGTAAGAAATCTCACTCATGCCACTCTGAGAACTGGGGTAACACAAGTAACCTAAAGTTATGATGAACATCTCAAATTGAGAAACTATTAAACACCTCAAGCCCCTACTTTACCTTATTGTACGCACGCCCTCCAACAAACCTCTCCTGGCTCTGGCTGGTATTGGCTGAGCCTCCGCAGCCGTTGCTATGGTCACTGAGGGGCCAATGGTAGGCATGTCCAGCTCCACAACCCCACACGGCGATAGGAACGCTGCTGGCATTGGGACCAGGTTCTGATGTCAGCAAATTACCATTAGAAGCACAGGTGAAGTGCTGCAGGCTGGGGATGAGGCTGCAGATGGTGCCGTGGCTGTGAGCCCAGCGCACAAGTTTACTCAGACTGTCAGAGGTGGTCTGAACCGGGTCGGACATGATAGAAACCTGGAGACGAGAGAGAGGAGGAAATGCTAACAGACCAGACCAGGCTTCTAATTGAGACAGGCCTGTATTTGTCAAACTATGTAGCTACACCAGGCTTGTAAAAGAGACTGGGCGTTTAATTGAAGTTCTATGGTATACCTATTCGCACAGTTGACATAACTTCAGATTATGATATTTGTGCAGCCAGTTCACCAGCACATGCACATGAAGGCAGACTTAGGATTCAACTGACTCAACTTTTCCCATTACACCAAAAACACTTTAAAAAATGTGTTTTCTTCAATTGGTCCACCGTCTTTTCTTTCCAGGACTACTGTTTAATGTGTGGCCTCTAACAGTCCAGCTCATCTTTAAGAAGTTTTCCATAATTATTTATGGAAATAAACTGTATGTATTGGAAACTGTCTTGGTTTGCTCAGGGCCTGGTCCTCAGAATGACTTGGACTCGGCTAAGGTGCTCTTAAGGTTTGCTTAAAACATTGCATGACGCAGATCTGCACAGGGTTAAGTCCAGCTCCAATAGCTCTCTCAGACTGACGGGGTAAGATGTGTGTAAAGATTTGCTCAAATTAATACTGAATTTCTTCAAGATGGAGACATAATACATCAGGACAGCAGCTAATGATTACTTTATTTGGTGGTAAATCTGTCGTTTGTTTTCTGGGTTATTCAATAAAATGTAACAAAACAAAACAAAAAATAAATTAAAAATGGTAATGAGAATTTGCTTTGTTTTGTCTGACGAATAGTCCAAAACCCAAAGTGATTCAGTTCACTATAAAGAGTGCACTTTCGTCAATCAATTTTCATTTTTTCTCGACAAGTCGATTAATCAATTAATCATTGTAACTTTATCATAAATGAGAAATGGTCACATGGTTTGCTGGTCTTCTTGCTCACTGTCCTTAAATCATAATGAACCTGCAGGTTTTTCTCTTTTAGTAGAGGACTCGTTACTCTAGATTTATATCGAAGTGTGCAGAAGTTTTCATTTCATTATTTAAATCTTAAAAGAACAGCATATCACCACTTGCACATAGTCAGTATTTAATAGGCCTACACTTTAATGTTATTTAGAATAGCTAATGTAAGCCAAGATGAAAGTCATTGTGATTAAAGAGGATTTAATACTAACATTTTCAAGTGTATAAATGTATATATATTACAGGCCATTATGGTTAGCACTGTACAATCAGCCAATGTGTACATTTACATATGTTTAATGTAGAATGAGCTGGTTTAAGTTTAATGTTGCGATTTTATTGTATTACTATCTTTATGATCATTTACTGGTTACTTATTTTGTTTGCAAATTTGGCACCCCCTCACACTACACACTCACACAACAACAACAACAACACACAGCTGTAATAAGTGACTTTTACGTGCAACTCTCTCTTTAAACTACAATCAAACCATCAGCAGGGACAAACAAATCCTCAGACTCGCTACATGTTAATTAGATCTGCAGGCAAACCACAGCTCATCAGGCTCAAGAACAAAGCTCCGGCACTTGATCAACATGTCTCATATTTACCTCCTACATTACACATTAAAACATCCCGGCTGTGACTCAGGCAGGTTTCACTTCATCTCATCTTCCTCGTTTATTTCGCAGTGTCCGAAGCTTCAAACTGACGCGACTATTAATGTTTTAATGACGCAAACAATGTTTGATGAAATATCATGAATATCACATCAGACGGGAGCGTTTGTGTATGTATGACATTCTTTGTCTGGAAGGTTTCACGCGCTGCCAGAATCCAACGTGAAAGATGCTTTACTGCCACCAGCTGGACGGGAGGAGGAACTGCTGTCTCCATTCACTGTGTGTACAACACTGACCTCTAGTGGCCACCAGGGGTCAATACACAATACAGGTATTATGTTACATTATATTACATTACCAAACTTGAACCCCCAGTGCACATACACTGAGAATGGACATTTACATATTTATTGATCTTTGTTTTTCAATGTAGCAGGGGAGTAAATGTGCTTTTTAAGAATTTGTAATTTGTTAATATTATCTTTTTTTTGGAAAACCATTGACAGAAAAAAGGATATTTAGGTTCATTAAAACTGAGGATTTTTTATCTGATTTTTTTTTTTGCTGCACTTTATTAGGGAGATGTGACATAGAAGGAAAAAAAGTCAAATATAAACACAAATTTGGAATACACTGCAAAAGCATGCCTTTACCTGAGGCCTAATATTTAGGTTGAATTTGCACTTGGGTAATGTAGCCCATTAAATGTTGCCATATATTTTAACACATAAAAATACTTTGCTTGAATTATTATTTATTGGATATGGTTTTTCCCACAATAAATAAATAAATAAAAATGAAAAGAAATTCAATTACTGTATAAAAAAGTATAAAATTATGGGTTCTAATTTTTTTCTTCTTCATTAAAACACATAAATGAACAAATAAATAAATAAGAATAAAAATCCAGTTACCTTGTTAAAAATTCTTTAAATTATAGGCGCTACATTTACTTGCTCTTCTTCATTAAAACACATAAATAAATAAATAAATAAATAAATAAATAAATAGATAGATAGATAGATAGATAGATAGATAGATGTCTTTTAAAAAAAATTAGTTACCCTTATTTCAAATTCTTAAAATCATAGGCTATAAATCTACTCGATCTTCTTCATTAAAACACATCAATAAATAGATAAATAAATAGATATTAAATACAGTAATAAATAAATAAAAATAAAAATCCAATTACCTCGTTAGAAATTCTTTAAATTATCGGCTCTAGATTTCTTCATCAAAACACATTAATAAATAAATAAATATTTAAAAAAAATTTCAATTACCTCGTTTAAAATTCTTAAAATTATAGGCTGTACATATCAATAAATAAATAGATAGATAAATAAATAAATAATACAGTAAAAAAAAATTCAATTGCCTTGTTGAAAAAATTTCAATTATAGGCTTTAAATTTACTCGCTCTTCCTAATTAAAATACATGAATAAATAAATAAATAAATTCAAAAATCTATATATATGCAAATATTACTGAAGTTAAACTGCTTTAAACAAAATGTCTCCATCTGAAAAGTTCAATTAAACACATAAGTTAGAACACAATATCCCCTTGGACTTTTAATGCAGAGACATGTATATTTTTGAACACATTAAATAATTAGCTAAAACTATTTCAATAATCAATAATATAATCAGGATATGATTAAAAGCTATTTATATGTTTGAGGCATGTTCACAGGGGATGACGTGTCTACAGCTGACAGGACATCACTATACATTTACAGGATGGAGCTCTGAGGTTATGTGTGTGTGTGTGTGTGTGTGTGTTTTTCCATGTCTGAATTCAGTGACTTGACTGAACTTGCTGCTGGCTCCACCCTCCGTTAGTCAGCCAGTCTACTACGTGTTAGGACTGGTGCCTTTAACTTACAAGCATCTCGGGGAGAGGAGGAAAAAAGGACTTTCCCCCGGCTCTTATGTGGAGGAATAAAGCTGCTGCACAGCCGTCGCGACTTGGTCAACTTCAAACTCTATACCCGGCATCTTTCCTCGGAGAGAAACTTTTCTATGAAGGCAGGTTTCCTCTGTATTTTCCGACTTGGATTAAGTTCTGCATGGAAACAAATGATATTTGAGAGGAGCGGAGAGAGGAGGTGGGTGTCGGGTACAAGCCTGTGTGCTTCTCCTCTTGTTCTTTTATGCTCGGATACAAGCCTGTTTGAGTTTGACTTAAGTGGAAAAAATAGTCCCTATTGTTGCTGCTGCGTGATCTAAATCTTATTCGAGTTTCAAAGAGATCTTAAAGGGTTAATCCGAGAATTAAAGGAAAGTTCTTGAAGCAATAAAGACAGGATTCTAAGGGAGAGAAACATAAGTATTATTTTAAATTATGGCATTGAAGGCCAGAGTGTTGTACGACTTCCACTCTGAAAACCCAGGAGAGATCTCCATAACAGAGAATGAGCTGGTGACCCTGTTCACTGAGGAGGAGCTGGAGGGCTGGCTGGAGGGGGAGAACAGCAGGGGGGAGGCTGGCCTCTTCCCTGCCTCCTATGTGGAGATCATCAGGGACCACATCACCTCCAACACCAACAACAACGGCATCTCCTTGCCCAAAACCAAAGCCCTGACGCCCACCCACACCCCCTACACATCCCCGGACACCCAGTCTCAGAGAGGACTCGGGGCTGGCAGCATTGGCAGTGGCGGAGGCAGCTTCCACACCAGCCAGGGCAGCGATGACGACTGGGATGACGATTGGGATGACAGCTCTCCTGCAGCAGATGTGCCTCGGGGTCTTGGCACCTCGCCTCCCTTGTACCCGGTGACCACCTCCTTGCCAGCGCGGCGTGAGAGCTCCCAGCAGCATCAACACCAAGCCAAGAGCTCGGCGACAGTGGGGAGGAACCTCAACAGGTTCTCCACCTTTGTCAAGTCCGGAGGGGAGGCGTTCCTGCTTGGGGAGGCCTCTGCTTTCGTGAAGGACGGGGACAGGATCTGTGTGGTGATGGGGAAGCATGGACCGGAGTGGCAGGAGGACCCGTATCCATTCACGTGCACCATTGACGACCCCACTAAGCAGACTAAGTTCAAAGGCATGAAGAGCTACATGTCCTACGGCCTGACACCAACGCACACCAACACGCAAGTCAACCGCAGGTACAAGTTCCTTCTCTTCCTTTTCCTTCTCCTTTTCCCTGGGGTTTTTAAACGTACTTCTTCACCAGATCCCCCGGCCCCCCATACACTTAAAATAAATGTTTCAGTGGCCTTTCCTGTAGCCACAATTGTTTCCACAAAATGGCAAAAACAGAGCCGACTGTGGCCTTTTGCCCTCTGCAGTCCTCAGGAATCTCCCCTTTCCTTTCTGAGATTCCCTCTGCACCTTTCACATTGTTTCCCTGTCAGTAGGTTGGTCATTTCAAGCCAACACTTACTCCCTTACATGTCAGTTTCCACTCGGCCCTGCTGGGAAAAAAAAAATCCCTACACATGCTCCCACTTCTTTTTGACTCACTGCACTTTCCTGCCATTTACCTCACTTCCTAAACTCCGTCGCTCCCACTCTCAGAACCATCTCTCTACCTTTTCATGCACCTAAAATGTCCCCATAAACCCTCCCACCTGTGTCTTCCTCTTCCATCCCTGCAGGTATAAGCACTTCGACTGGCTGTACGCTCGGCTCGTGGAGCGCTTCCCGGTCATCTCGGTGCCCCACCTGCCAGAGAAGCAGGCCACCGGCCGCTTTGAGGAGGACTTCATCTCCAAGCGGAGGAAGGGACTGATCTGGTGGATGAACCACATGACAAGCCACCCTGTGCTGTCACGCTGTGACGTTTTCCAGCATTTCCTAACGTGCGGGGCAGACGAGAAGGCCTGGAAACAGGGCAAGAGGAAGGCCGAGAGGGACGAGCTAGTCGGGGCCAATTTCTTCCTCACAATCAGGTAGGAGGTTCAATTCCTGGATTGGACACTTTGTTTTAGTGACAAGATTATAGAAAGCTTCTTTCAAGAGTCAACCTTTTCCAAGAGCATTCAACAATCATACAGGGCGATATCCATTGTAGAAGAGGCGTAAGAGGTCAACATCTACACCAGTAATAGCAGGAAATAGACCAGAATGCAATGCTGCAACAATAGAGATCAGGTTTTCAATAAGGCCCATGGTCCTGACCTTCTTTACCTGAAAAACTATCACTCTTGTTGCTCTTTTGTCGTCACTGTTACAGGCTTACTCTGCATCTCTAACCAGCCACTCAGTGTATCAAGTTACAGTCTAGTCTCTGGAGATTGTAAGGCATTCTGGGAAATGTAGGCAGTTAGTAGATACAATACAAGATGGTAGTAGTTTGAGGGAAAGAAGTTACACCAAACCTATAACACTTTATTGTTAAATACTGTGCAAATGAATGATGTGCAGAGGGTGGACATCAAAGAGGTATGGATCAAGTTGTGTTGCTGGGTTACATCATGGTATTGCGTCAGATGTTCCTGTTATTTTGTCCACCCACTTTATAACGGTATAAAGTAACAGTAGAGGTTATTTGCCCTTTAGCGAGACAGTGTTATCAGATTTCCTTGTTTCACTCTGCTGTAACTGAAGGCTTTCATCATAGGGAGTGCCTGATAGTGAGGGTGAGATAAGTAGATCGGAGGAATAATAAATAAAGATGATGTAATGCTGCAATAAAAAAAAAAAAAAAAAGCATAATGGATTTTCAGAATAAAGCCACAAGGTTTAAATTGAACGTTTCTTTTCTTTAGCACACCGTCTGTCCCGCTGGACCTCCAGGAGGTCGAGAGCAAGATCGAAGGCTTCAAGACCTTCACCAAGAAGATGGACGAGAACATTGTGGTCGTGAACGCCACCATCAACGAGTTCGCTCGGAAGCAGATGGCGGGGTTCAAGAAGGAGTACCAGAAAGTCGGGCAGGCCTTCACGATCCTGGGACAAGCGTTTGAGATGGACCAGCAGGCCTACTCAGTGGGCCTGAACAAAGCCATCGCCTACACTGGTGAAGCCTATGAGGCGGTGGGAGAGTATTTTGCTGAACAGCCGCCCCAGGACCTGGCGCCCATTTCTGACCTGCTGGACCTCTACAGAGGACACCTGGCTAATTTTCCTGACATCATCCATGTGCAGAAAGGTGGGACAGTGTGTGTGTGCATGTGCTCTGAAATCAGAACCACATTGTTTGCACAGTAAGCTCATTTTGCACTCAGAGTAATCGTTCCTAATTTTCTTTTTATATCTTTATCAGAGTCTGAACTCTTTAAAGCAGGGGTAGGCAGTTTTATTTTTGTGTCATTGGGCAAAAGTCCCTTAATAACCTTTAAGCATAATTGTAATTCAAGTGGTCTGAGAGAAACCTAGACTTCTGCACCTCCGCTTGGCTTTAGAAAATGTAGCCCATGACAGGAGACTTTGGCCAATTACAGGTCATTTCAGAGAGAGGGCGTTTTACAAATGCAGATGTGTGTGCAAGTCCCTTTGGTGAAATCCTGATTTAATGGTGGATAATCTTGCAAAAAAGTTGGTGTTTTTGCATTGGTAACAATTGCCTACACTGCAAAGCAACCTAAAAAAGGAAGATGGACTTATCAAGAAGAGAGTCTAAAATAAAGTCTGACACTAAACAAAATAAACAAAATACTGGTGTAGCATTTCAGAGGTGGAGAGAAAATGGTGCTAATAGTTTAGCCATAGCGGAAGCTAATACAAGTTCATGTTTATGTAGCTAATGTTAGCTAGAGTCTCGAATCACAGTGGGCCCTTCACCTCACTCCCCGCCGCTATAGACCACCACGCCAGGAGGAGAGTGGGCAGTAGTTCCGGAGACTGACCGGAATTCGGCGCTTAGAGCCGATCTGCAAACTTTCTGTTGCTGCTGTAACACAGGTTAGACTCAGCACTGCTGCTGGCCGCCAGCCCACTGTGACAGCTGGTGCTGGGGTTTGCGCTGGCCAACTGAAGGTCCGTTTCTGGAGCTGCTACCCGCTTTCCTACTCCTAGCGGAGCAGTCCACAGTGGCGGGGATTGAGGCAAAGAAATCATGGGGTGCTAGGTAGCTAATTCTTGTCTTACTTGTGGTCCGATAAAGAAGGAACTGAGGAAATGTGCTGTGTGCAGCTCTTAAACAACAAATATGAATGAATGGGGAGACAGCTGCAGGAGGAGGGCGTATTTCAAATTCTGCTAGATTTTTTTGCCTTTTATAGAAAACTGCCTACCCCAGCTGTAACACACCTATGACTTCCACTCTTATCCACTCCATCTTTCAGTGTGGGATGTAAATGCCAGACATGTCAAAGCCTGGAGAAAACCAAAAGGAGATTGTGCAGAAGTATGTGAAAGGAGTTACTGACAAAAATACATTAAACTTCCCAGCATACTTGCAAGAAATGAAACAGATGCAGGACCTAGCATACTTTTCTTAACAGGGAAGTCAGAGGTCAAGGGTCAGGAGTGGTCAGGACTCTTGCTCATGGATGCCTCTGAAGGGTGGAAGGTTTGAATCCAAAAGTCGTCCAGCCTCCCTGTGTATTAATCATGTCAACATAACTGCAGATAATACACAGAGGCCCAGATTCTGAATGTTTCAACATCTGTTTTTATTTACTGTCAATCTGGGTTGAAAGCTGAAACCCATAGCTGGTCCATTGTAACAGTACTGTGAGAGCCTGTATTCGCTCACAGGAAAACACAGAAAAACACACACACTCACACAGACGTGTACAAAGGACTTGCAGAGGAGTGAGCTTGTTAGTTCCCTGCAGGTTGGGAGGAGGGAGTTGCTCCTGGCACGCAAAGTCCTGACGTTTGCCAAACCTAGAGGCACTGTTTCTATAGTCCGCTGAGCTCTGTTCTCTAGACACAATCACAGCTCCGAACTATGGAAACACAGTCTGAATGCCAATAGTCTCTGTGACTGACAGGAGTCCACCTTCTTGCTGATTGACAAGTAACACGTTGTTTTGTGTACCTCAAAGAGCCTCACGTTTCTTACAATTGTTCCATCACCTCTGCTGCACTGGAAGATACCATTCCTATTATGAAATCTGAGTAATAAGCTTACATCGATTACTTAACTTTAGTAATATGTAAAATGAATAATAATGTGTCTCTGTGGAGAACGATCTCATGAGAAGTTTGTACCTATTAGTTTGAAATGGGCCAGCACACAAAAAGAAATGGGTCATAATGATTCAAACAGGCAGGGGGAAATGATGCTAAATGAAACAAGATGAAAACTTTACCCAACCCTTTACTTAACTATCTCATCATAACCTTAAGTAAAACACGTTTACCTTATCTCAACCCTCAAAAACTGTTCAAAAACTTAAAGGGTAGTATTTTTCAACCCTTTATTTCTGTTGTTTTTGTGTCTATGGGTGCTTTCACACCTGCCATTTGGTTCAGTTCAATTGAACTCAAGTTTGTTTGCCCCCTAAGTGCGGTTCGTTTGGGCAGGTGTTAACACAGCAATTGCATTCTAGTGCACAGTAAAACAACCGGGTCAAGACCTTCTTGAAGAGGTGGTCTTGGTCTGGTTACAAACGAACGTGTTCCAAGCTCGATCGGAACCAACTGCAGCCGCATTACGCAACAAGCATGAGCATGTATTAATGTGCACCTCCTCCTGCACTGCCTTAATATGCACATTCAGCACATCCAATGCATCAAAACATTGTTTTCTAGTTGGAGCCGCGCCTCGTTTTCAAACTGTATGGTTTGACTAAAATGAACAATGACAGCAATATAGTCCACGATGACCAGTGCTAAAATAAACCTGCGTAGTTGTCCCTCCATTGTGACATTAGAAAGTGTCACATTTATCTTGCAAGTGTACTCTTCAACATTTGCTTTACTTCCTGGATTTTCGCATGGATCGCATGTAAATTCTGACCAATCAAGTGCAGCTTTCTCACACAAGGCATTTTATCTGGTCCACTTGTAAATGCTGCCATGAGAACATGAACCAACTCTAGGCAATTATGCAACTTTGCAACAAAATTCGTCCCTGATTCAGACCAAAGCAAGACAACACTAGGTCTGAAAGCACCCTAAGTGACCAATGGAAGCAGCAATTTTTGAAATTGATCCACTATTGAGCAAGACCACTGCAGATGGCAGTGTCGAAACAGCCTGTAGTGTAACTTAATCAGGGCAAGTTCACTCTGCCACATTACATCCACTAAAAGTGCTTGAGTTTGCCACTGACATATTCACATTATTATTTTAAGAGTCTTACAACTCATGGAAAGAACACCTACCGAGATACACTTCTTTGTTAAAGAGTGGGATCCCTATTTAAATGGAGCCTGGTGGAATTAGCAACGCCAATTTCGGGACTATTTCTTGTCACACAAAAAGGATCTTACTCCTTAACAAAAAGGTCTATCTTTGTAGGGAGTCTTCCCAAAAGTTGTTAGATACTAAGAATAACAATCTGAGCCTGTCAGTGACAAATACAAGCTCTTTAAGCGGATGTAAATTGACAGTGTGAACATGTAACAAGTGGTTCCACTGACGGCTGCAGCGCTCTTGCTCAATCCTTGACTACTTCCAAAAAATGTTGTTCCGATTAGTCATTTAGACACAGCAACGTGGGAAAATAGGGTCCAGTATGGAAAATACATAACTCACCATTTAGCCAAACACAAATCAATGTGTTATGTGTCATAGCCATGTCATAGGGTATGATATCATTTCTGCTTTCACAGGATCATACAAAAAACCCTGTCGACATTTGTGGGTGCCAGTTTTGACTTCCAGAAATCATACATAGCAACACTAAAATTAGATGCTAGCTAGAGGAACAGCAGTCTTTATTTCTTCCTCTTTTTTATTTAAAAAATACTGACTGTATTCCAGCAAATAAAAACTGTGACATGACTTTGTGACATGGCCTCATCTTTCACAACATGTCACTGAATTATGTCAAAATGTCCCACTACCTAATAGACAAACCCAAAAAACCAAAACCATATTGTAACATGCATGACCGTTTAGCTGCAAACTAACTGATGAAGGAGTTTATGAGATAAACAAGTAAGGTCATTGACAAGTTCACGAGAGATAAAAGCACAGACTCTGAGTAATCTATCACTGCCGTCACAGGAAACTTTGTTTTCTGAGTAACACCCATGAGCACATCCCCACAATGCAGAATCTGCACTTCTGTTGTAGTTGCAAAAGATCTATCTTTAACAAAAGATAATTGGTTTAGTCAAAGTTTCCATAACAGGCAATTTGGTGACAGAACTGAGAGGCAAATGTTTGCACTGGTGCAAAGATGAAACGTCTTTTTCTGCTTTTGTCTAACTAAACAAAACATTGGATTTCATTCTCGGCACACAAAGAAAACCTGACTGCAGGTTTCACATTTCACATAAACTGTCATTCCTCTCACCGCAGGAATACATTCCACAAATATCTATCTATCTATCTCGTATAACGCTCAACGTGTTTCCAATAACAACCAAATTACAAAAACATGGCAACATTGCAGCACAGATGAGATAGAAAAGCAGCTGCGGGGCTCTCGATGCAGACAGCTTTCTTGACCTAAATATTGTGTGGTGTACAGTATCGTCCGACTTCGCTCTGTCTGTGAGGTCCAGAGGCTACATCTGATTTGAATGAACGCAGAGATTCCTGGGCCTCTTGTCCTGTGTTGCCCTGGGACTGCAGGAATGCAAAATGGATCAGCCTCAGGATTAGTTTCCCCTCCTCCTCTTTTCTTCTCCCTCTTTTCCTCCTTCCACCCGGTGATACAGCGAGTTGAAGAGAAGGAAGAAGAAGAAGAGGGGAGGGGTGTGTGGGTGTGTGTGTGTGTGTGTGTGTATATGAGAGGGGGTGCAGATAGTTACAGAGTTGAACAAGTTTCCCACCAGCCAACAGGACAAGAGTTCAGATTACAGCTCTGTAATCGCCTTGGCAGCGCGGAGAGCAAAGTCCGAGTTAATTTCAGTTCGTTAGTGTACTTGCGCAGGTATGGCATGTGTTTTCGAAAGATCTAGAAAGAGAGGTCGATGAGGTCAGGAAGGAGAGCCGTGCTAGACTATGAGCTAGGTCATCATTTCCTTCACATAGAGCATTACTGTGAGTTCCTCTTGATCCATTTTTTCATGGATGCAAACTCTACTACTTCCCCCCTGAAAGTTTAGTCACACTGAGTAGACTGTCTGAGTCATGACTGGGCGTTGGGTAACTTCAAGGATCTTGGAAAAAGTATGCAACAACCAGCTTTTTTTTCTGTAGCGTGAAAAGAAATGCCATGATCAGCTTGAAGACTATGCCTGCATTTCTCCCTTTAGTTTTTCTGTAGGCTGTGCTGTCACGACATTACTTCACTCTTGTCTCTTCAGTCTTCCCTTGTCTTGGACTTCTGGTAGATGGTGTTTACAGTAAAATGTGTGAGTTCAACATTTTGGTTATTTACTCTCGTCATCAGTTAGATAAGAGGGTCATTCTTACTCCATTAGATTTGAAGCTACAAACAGGAAGTGGATATTCTAGGGGCTGCTGTAGAGGGGGTCGTCTGCTCATCAGAAGATTGACGGTTCGATCCCTGGCTCCTCCAGTGTGTATGTTAAAGCAAGACCAAATTGTGTAAATGAGTGTAATGGTTAAGGCCTGATTGTAGCCTTGGCCCTTGACCCTGTGAACGAATGGGTGAATGGTCGGAAGACTAGAAGGGTGCTATACAAATGCAAGTCCATCTACTTCACATAAAGACTGAAAGCAGGGAAAAACTCTTAAGCTCACAAATTACCATATTATATATTATAATTTAAGCTAACTGCAATCACAGAACCCATCAGTTATCATCTAACAACAATAAGCCTCTGGGCAACGGCCAATGCAGATCAGGTATAGCCATTGATGTATAAAGAGAATTGGATAGTGTGTTGGAGGCGAGGCCCTGTTCATTCCTATAAAAGTTGCTCAGTGACGCATGAAGCCCAAAAAGTTCAACTGTTGTGTATTAAAAAAAATCAGGTTTAGCGCTGTGCTTTGACAATGAAATGAATCACGGCGCCTGGGACGATCAAATTCATTAATCATCTCTTTTGTCATGCAAGTTGATGGGGAAAACTTTTTTTGGACGGCAGAGCAACGATATGGTGTAATTACACTACAAAAATTGGCTTCAAAGCACATTTCCTGGGGACCTGGGTGTAGAAAGCAGATACTCAACCCAAGACTTCCTCTTCCTAGCACCAGTTATTTCAGCTAACCTCTATAATCAGTTGCCTGCATATGAATGCAGATACATAAAAAAAAGGTAACTTGTCGTCAGACAATAGCGGATGATTTTCGAGATTGCCCTCCTATCAATGCATTCCACCTCCCCACATGGACTGTGTACCTGCTGCTCAAATGTGATTGGTCATTACTGCTTGGACCAGAAAGGGACTACTGGCGGAAACCAGAACGTTTCTGATACCAAAATCTTGTCCCGTTGCCTTCAGATTCTGCATACATGTGCAGATATCTGCCTATAGAGACTAAGCTAAGCGTCTCTTTGCTGTAGCATCTTAAATAACAGACAGATGTAAGAGTGGTATTAAATTCTCATTTAACTCTCAGCTGTATAAAACTTTGCAATAAGGCTGCTAAAAACAGAAATATTACAGAAGCAACAATATTATAATCTTTGTTATTTTACCATCCCTGTCCAGACAGATGGAGTAAACTGTATCACACTGTTGAGCATGATTAAGTGTATCCTGGAGCCAATCCTGGAGGTTCTGCTCTATACTTTGTGTATCTGCCACTCTTTCTCAGTCTTCTTCCTCTCTGTCCCCTCCCTCCCTCCACCACCTTTTTCCAGGTGCACTGACCAAGGTGAATGACTGTCCAAAGCAGGAAGGTGAGCTCCACAACCGCTGCAACATCATTTCCTGCGCCACGCTGGCAGAGATCCAGCACTTCCACCGCACACGCGTACGGGACTTCCGCGCACAGATGCAGCACCACCTCCGCCAGCAGATTGCCTTCTACCAGAAGATCACCGCCAAGCTGGAGGACGCTCTTCAGAGATACGATGACGACCAGTAGGAAGAGAGAGAGAGAGAGAACAGAGAAGTTGGACTACAAAGGCCTTGAGGAAACGGAGGGGTAGCTTGAAGAGAGGAGCAGACTGGGGATGATTGATGGGTTCTTCCTGCAGTAATGGAGAACATCTTATCATCCTTAAGAGAGAAAACTTTTTGATGCAGTGAAACCTGGGCCTGGTGCAAGCATTGAAAGAAATATACTACTCTTTTAAAATATATAGGCCACCGGACTGTGGAATGACAACTTCTTGGATTATCTGGACGGCTCTGATGAATGTACCAGTAACAGGGATTTTGCTGACGCTCCAGGCACATCTTGCAACTCAGCGGGACTGCGACAGATATTAAAAACAGCTGCTCTCAGTGTGACGGGGCTTGATTCCCGGTTTCAGGGTCATGTGATCTCTCCATGCCTCCGCTGCCTCACCACTTCATGGAAACCTTCCGCTGTAGACACGAAACTCCCCAAATCACTTCAACTGGATGTTTTAATGATTGAAAGACTTCATGAATTTGATGATTTTTGTTATCTCTATATGTGTCTGTTTTTACTTGAATGACCTGTTCAGTATTGTTTTAATGGGACGTGACAGAGGGGAAGTGATTATTCGTGAATGCGGAAAGAGGAAAGTAGGCGTAATCTACTTAATGAGTTTAGTAGTTGGATTTCATTACAGCTGAAATTTGACCTACTTCTGATGTCTAACATCTCTCACGAGGCAGATGTGCTCACATCTTTACTTTATCATAATTTGAACATCTGTGTTCTGCATTTTACTAAAAATAATAATTGATATCCGACTTTTTGACAGGCTCCAGAGTTCTGTTTCTTTGGGTTGCTGTAGGCCTGGGGTTATTAACACCCTCAGTCCACATCTGTCTTTCTGCTTTCCCTTAATCAGGGGAGGTCAAAAGTTCAGGCTCATGGTACAGATACTTCAACGCAGTTGATGCTTCCAGGCGTTAAAGCTTTGAGCCCTGATCCTCCAGTTTAAAGCCACTATGTGTAGGCTTTTATATTATTATTTTAAATTCTTCTGGGGGCTAGTTATTTTTTTAATTGTAAAAGACAATCTTGGTGAAAATCTTTGTGTTTCGTTCATGCTGTTCTGTCTTTTTTGATACAAGCACAAAGTTGGACAGATCCTACACAGCGGCCTTGAAGATGGTTGCTCTTCTCAATATGCTAATCGGCTAAAAAACATTCTTCTTATAAGGACCAAAATAACCCAGCCAGCAACTATATATGGGGCCTATGTGGGTTGTAAATGGGTTGAAAAATGGGCCCTATATGGGATTGTCCATGGGTTTCATATTGGTCCCATACCAATGGCCACATCAATGGCTTTACCCATTTATGCTAGGGCTACCTGGGTACCAAGTGGGTATGGGCCAAACATGGGCATCTTATCCGAGGCCCACTTGGATAAACCCAGCTATGTGGGCAACTGGCATGGGGCCAAAACATAACCCATGAACAATCCCATATATAGACCGTTAAGAGCCGAAGTCACAAGGATGTCAGTTTGTTAGCTGGAGGCAAAACACCACTTGCCACCACAGGGCTGTAGACTATGTAGGAGTCTTAAAATGTCATCTTATTGGGAGCCAGAATAGGAGTCATGGCTCAAAACGTAAATTTTATCACATACCAGCCGCAACTGCCCGTCAACAAAAAAGACAACTATGGTTAAATGTGATAAGACGAAAGGACTGGACGAAGGCGATCATCAAAAATGTTCACTTGTGCAGCGAGCACTTCATATCAGATTAGGAGAAAAGTATTTCCTGTTGTAGGGATGAATAACGTTATCGGGGTGGCCAGTCTGGTCCTGTTGGTCAGTGTTTACATTTTTAAGTAACATTCGCAGTCCCAGAGAGTGTGTGACCTGATGTGGTGGATAAAATCTGTTTGACGTGCTACACTAAAATGAGAGACCTTTTGGTTGAAGAAACGGGGCGTTATATTTTTATATGAATTAACAAACGGTTAAGTTAATCACACATTCACTCCACTCGTTGCTCTGCTGCTCCGAGAGTGCGCTGCTTTGGATAACCGAATGTTTCCAACAGTGTTGCGAATGTACAAACGGTCCAGTTTGTGCACTCAGGCACTCGGAATGAGTATTTCTGAATGCACCACTCGCATAATTTGCCTCTAGCTAAGCCCCGCCCACCAAAAAATATCATACTGTTTACTAACAGTAAAAGGGTCTATAGCCCATTTTTCAGCATGTTTCCTACCCACACAGCCCCACATTCAGATGTTGGCAGGGAAGCTCACAGAACTGCGTCCCCAATTGACAGACATATTTTGACATCCAGAGGGAAGTTTAGGATCTGGTGAATTTAACCATTACAAATTGACCATACAGTAGATCGCTGCGATAGTCAATGGAATGAATTACAATGGTTTACAGGATCAAGTGCAGTCAGTTTGATGCTTGCATAGAGTATTTCTGTTTAATATAACATCAGGTGTTACTTCACATTCCTTCACATGTACTTCACAAGTTTTATAACAGGATACACCACCAGCCAGGTTGTTAACAGTGTTCTTCACAAACACAGAACTCACCACGATGAAACTGTTTTTTAACACTTGATGTAACACATCAAAACAGCATTTCAGTAAATAAATGGAAGTAGAATGTATTTCAGTCTCGCATCTGTACTGTTGACTGTTAACCCTAAATATAGTATCATTTGACCCATTCAGTGTCTTTCAGCTAGTGTTCCGATGGATATGAATGTTTTAATCATCTTCAGGATATTCAGAATATGAAAAGGTACAAATCAGTGACTAACTTTTAGCCATCAGGGCGTTCATTCATCACGCTCCACCCACCCACTAGTTCCATTAGCACAGGCGCAGCCCTCTATAGGGGCCCTGTTGCTCCTACGCTGCTTGGTAGAGGGTGAAGGCAGTGGGGTAAGGTAGTACATCGGGCCTCAGTGCACACTATCATGACAGGCCTGATAGTGTACGCTACCGTGTACGTATCTTCTCATCACATGATCAGAGACTTGACATTGGATAACAGTAACATACATATAAGCCAGCAATCACCATTGCATGTCTGAGAATCACAAAAAATACCAAAAAAAGAGAAATTATTCATTTAATTTAATGTAGTTTATTTGTAATAAGCACATAATTTTGTTATAGACGCCACTGACTATTTTATAAAAAAAAAAAAAAAATTAAAAAAACATGACAGACATGTGTTTACCTTTTTCAAGGCCATATATAAAGTGGAAAACTCCTGCTACATCCTGCAGAACCACGCCAATCCAGATGAAATACAAACTTTTTAGGCGGTCCCTTTAACAAGCTCTGTATCACACAAGCCCTACATCTTCCCTGGTTAATGTCAACAGCTAAAAAGTGACAAACAGCAATGAGTTGAGAAAAAATATTTTATTTTCTTCTGTTAGTAGGCCTAGTGGCGTGACAGCGACAAGTAAATTAACAACCTGGGAAGAGATAACAACTGCTGTTAATGGCATTAAAGATTTTTATATTTATGTCATTATGGCCGACCACTGTAACCTTGGCATTGCTCAGGGTTAGTTTGTTAGTACAAGACCATAGACACATACATAGATTATGCGTGTAGTGGAAAATAAAGTTTTGTCTCCAGTTAATTATAATCTCCATATTTAGGCTGTAATAGCTGCTGGACGTTCAGCAGAGGAGAGTGTGTTAGGCTTATATGAACTGAATTACTGGTGTGGTGGAAAATAATTCATCATCATAAAGAAAACTCACACTTGTCAAGGATTTCTCTTACTGTCCTCGGTTAATACTCGTGGAAACATCCCCATATAATATAATTTATTGTGGAAGTAACATTAGACAACGGTACTTCACAAAACATTATCCATTTCTCTCCACCTCTAAATGGATAGGGCTTTAAAAAGTGGTACCAGAGCTCACTGAGTTCCTGTTGCACGTGTCATTTTTGCTGTTTGGAATGCAAAAACTGGAACTCAGTGTCTCAGAACCACTCAGAATGCAGATAGAACCAAAACATTCTAAGGTGGCCATTTGCTGTTGGCTCGTGGGTGGAGCTACAACAGAATGATGATGTCATCTTTAATTTGTCCTTTGAGACATCGTGTGTCACAAATGCATAATTAGTAAGTAGACCCATGGCACCTCCAAGATGACACCATCCATGACAGATGCACAGAACAGTGAGTCCCGTCAGGTTCTTGAAATCCTCCGCCGGCGAATAGACCACCTGGAATCTGAGAGAGATGAAGTGATAGAAATGAATGAGAAAAAAACATTTCAACTTCAGGCTCTTGAGGCAGATTTAAAAACTGCCGAAGACAAAATCAAGGACCTGCAAAAACAATGCCAGAAGAATGACACAAAAGGAAGAACTGACTAACGAAATCTTTGACCTCAACAAAAGAATCCTGGATTTGCTTGTAGAACGCAAGTGTGCTGTACAAGCATTGGAAAAGGAGCTTAGTGACAGCCACGACAGTGTCGCTGCACTCAAGAAGGAGCAAATGACAGAAGACGAAATACATGCTGCTGTGGTGAAACAACTCAAGGATAGGCATATCATTGAGGTGAACGACTACAAACAACAACTGGCTAGTCTAGAGGCAAAGCTCCAAGAAAAAAAACAGGACTTTGCCAGTAAACTGAGAGAAGAGAGGCCAGAACAAAAGAGGCTTAATGATAAACTCACAGAGCTGAAAGACCAAAATAAGGAATTAAAGAATATTATCAGTCATCAAAAGGATTTGACAGGAGAGCTATCTGACTTACGGGAGACTGTCAAAGACAAGGACAAAATAATTCAGATGATGGAAAGGGACATCGCTGAATACATGAAGGAAAGACGTTATGTAATGAGAGACTGGTTGACGTTAAGAGAGAATAAAGCTACTGCTGAGGCTTCACTGAAAAGTCTCGCAGAGACCAACGCAGAACTCCAGTCAAAATTAACAGCCACACAGTCTGAAATGGCTGAGTCCAAAAGATGGCAAACGAAAGCTGGCGCAGAGCTGCTTGAGGTAACAGAGGAGAACAAAAAAGCAGAGTCACAACTGGCCGAGCAAATGAACAAGGTCCGTGCACTGGAATCCACTCAGCAGCGTTTCAAGGCTGATCTGGAGGCATGCAGGCCTGCAATGTCAGATTTTAAGTCATTAAAATCCAAGTTTGTAGAGCTTTGCAGACGCTACCTCCACAATGATAGTGAAGTGAAGATGAATAGGGACCTTGAGGACGAGCTTCGAGATAAGCTTGCCACTGCTGACGCTAAAATCAGCAAATATCAAAAGTTCTACATGAAGGACTACGGAGAGAGTGAGCATTACTGTGAGCTATTATACAAAAATCGCATGAAGACAGAAGCTTTTGCGAAACAGATCAAGACATTAAAGTCTGAGAATATCTCTTTGAGAAGAGATATTGATCGGACTCAACGGCTCCTTCAGAAGGCAACAAAGCCAGTGCTGCAGAAGGTAAAATTCTGGATTAATAAAAAAGTCCTGGGAAGGGTACCTGTTGCCCAAGAGGCTGCAGAAGAACCACCAACCCTTTACCAAGACTACTGGCAGTCTTCAGACCTCTCAGATGACGACAACATATCATCTGTGCAACCCTCTGTGAGCGAATCATCAACATCCTCAGGGCCAGATCCTCTGGATGGTGTCATTCACGTGAAGCCGTATGTGGCAGAAGATCTCCCACCAGTTGACATGTGAATTTTCGGCATGGTGCAGCGTTAACATAGCACTCAGACGTTCAGTGACTGAACATCTGAGTGCTATGTCATTGCTGCACCATGCCATAGTGCTCAGACGTTCATTGCACTGAACGTCTGAGCGCTATGTTAGGTCGGGTTTTCTCCGGGATGCTCCGGTTTCCCCGACACTCAAAATCAATTTGGCAAAATTTGGAAAGTAATTGGATAAAATTAATAAAATAAAATAACAACTACATCTTTCAGTTGTGTCGTTTGCATTTGCTGTACACCTCCTGTATGACTAGAAGTGTCAATGATGTCACAAACTGATATCAGCGACATCACAGTTTGTGACATTAAACAATGATGTCACTGATAACATCATCATTTCAAAGCAATGGCAAGCATTAAAAGATTCTGAATATTTAACATTGTTTGGTAGGTTATATGTTGTTCAAGTAAGCTTTAAGAAATTTTAGGAGCACAAGCTGAAAATTTAAGGGCACACCTTAAATTGTCCTGCAACTGCTATTCACATTTTTAACTGTATCATAAACTGTATGTAGTCTACTGTATAGGACACACACAATTTATTTAGCTTCTGTAGTTGAGGCGACGGTCAAACTGATATGATGCTGATTTACATGAGAATTCATGTCAAATGGAGGCTGAACCATGAACATAAATTACAGATTGCCTGTGAGGCATTTTAATAAATTAATCTATCATAATTAAAACGATTGGAGACTGAGAACAAACTGATATAGGAGTATAGATTCATTTGGATTCAGCCCAAACGTCTGCACTTGCAGACCCCGGAAGTCTGGGAGTGCTTAGGGGTTTTCAGTTCAGAGGAACTTACCCATAGTTCTACAAACGC